AAAACTATCATTTAAACGATCATTTGTGATATACAGAATAAGAATTTTAAACATTAAAGGAAAAAAACAAATTAAATTCCAAATGAAACTTACATAGAACAGTGACAAACAATGTGGAATACATATAACTTATTTAAACAAACTTATTCAAGTCAAAACTGCATAATAAACACCTTACAAATCACTGGAAACTCAAATACTATAATGATAAACTACGTATTTGCTATAAACTTAAGTTGTGTTTAGATTATTAGTTTGAATAGATAACTGAAAGACCTGAAAAGAATTTATTAAAAAGTACATACTTCATTCATATATCGATAATTCAATGAGATCGTACTAATGATAAGGTTAAATAATTTGTTTTTTAAAAAAGGAAAGAAATACTTATCAATGTTTATGATCATTGTCAGTATTGTCATTTCTCTTGGGATGATAATTTTGGATGTTTTTCATTACTTTCTATCTTTAAATACATAGATTATTGATATTTCAAGATACAAATAAATGAACCATTTTAAAAACAAAAGTATAAAATGCAACTAAGAATGTTATTTAATGATGATAATGTGTTGAATTATACAAAGAATGTTAAAAATTACACATAGCAACTAGCATGAATGTTCAGTAATCAAAGTTGTCGATCTAAACATCAAAGTAAGAGAGAATCTAAGTTATTTTAAAAAAACAGAGGAGTGGGCAAAATGTAAACTATGATAGAATGTTGAAATTAAAAATACACTTACATGAAATCAATGAAAATAAAAAACATGGAATAATATTTAATCGAAGATTCAAAATAAAATCAGTGAATGTAACTGTTCTAGTGGTTGGCACTATTCAATTATTTTGAAAGATAGTCAATAATTATTCAAGGTTAAAGTATTTAACAAGCATTTCGGGTTATACCAACAGTTACTAGCTTCATGGAATGACATAAATCACTAAATTTATTTGAAATGGAACTACATTTCAAGGAAATTTGGTAAAATTTATGATTGTCAGCTATTGTTTTTACATAGGCTCTTGATAAATAATCAGACAAATAATATTAAAAATCAAGTTGTATCATTCAATGTACGTTTATGGTTTAGACCAATACAATCTGCCTTCCTATTGTAAAATTGAGACTTGTAGTGTATTTTATCTTTCACAGTAAACTGGTGTTTCTATATACTTTGTTAGAAATTTTTTGTTTGATGAGATTCATTTTATCATTCACCACAGATGATAGATATGTATCTGCAATGACATATTGTCTCATTTGTTGAATGTTTTTGGTAATACTTTTTGGAGATGACACATAAATATATGGATATCTCGTTGAAATCACTAGCCAATCTAAGTTAGATCATCATCGAAAACCTAGAAGCAGTGCATTGCCACTTTTTTTCTAGCACGACAATCCTCAGCAATGCATATTCACGACCCCACACGCGACAATCAAACTCTGAATCTGCGATCTCGAGGCGAGACAGCAGTGCAGTACTTCCAGATTTTAAACGGTGATCTAGCTTAGATCAGTTGATGATTTCAATAATAAATCAACAACCTGCACGACCCTATACTGACATATTCATATCTGTTGGTTGAGAGTATAATTTGTAATCAGATAATCACTTTTATAATCAGTGATGGCCGAAATCAAGTTTATGGCTTGGTCGACCGAACCATCCAGCTCAGAGAACAAAACTCCACCAAAATCATCCACCTGAGCTACAAATCTTCCCCACCATCTTATACCGAATTCAATTACATATTTACTATAATATAAAGTACTTGCTTATGAGTGACATTCTTTAATGAATTAATAATTTATCTATCAAATTTCTTAGCCTGTCAAACAATGTAAAATATCTTAGTATCAACTTGTTTCATTAAAATAATAGTATGTTAATGATAACCATCAACTAAGGATTAATTCATTTACATGTAATAAAGATGTTTCTAAAACTTACCAAAATTTACAATTAGCAACATTTGCAGAAGCCAGTGCCATCATGCCTTTTCTACTAGCTTGTGTGTATAGGACATAGGAGCGGTTGGCTACTATTTTCTTTAGTAGTGTTAAATGCGCAACCTCATACTGTAAAAAAACATAATTCTCATTAACATTTTCCTCTCCAACTGAAGTGAAACTGGTAAAATTACTATGTCACATCATAAAAATTATGTGTATCAAAACATCTGATCACGAGCTCACATTTTATGCAAAGATAATCAAGGTACCTATATATAAAATGGTTAGACAGTGCCTTTCATTTAGAACTTAAGCAATCATCTGTTCAATGTAAAATAGGTGAATTGATTTAAAAACCTGCTCGCAAAAGGCTATTAGTTTGAATCAGTGAATCAAGGGACAATATTATATTTTACACGCATCAGCAGATGTTTAGTACAAACATATTCAGTCTTAAATACTGACATGTCTAGAGTCATGGAAAAAAGCATAAGCTATATTAACTAGCAACAACATTAACAGTATCGGATGGAAAAAACATTAATATATTATATTCATTATGTTATATAAGAATTAAGGAAATACAGCGTCAACCGACAAATAACTTATACAAAACGTTTAACCGACTTAGAGAAACCAAAAAATCTTATTGAGCATGTTACCAAGTAACAGTTAAAGCACGCATTTGTCTTTTGTGAATCAGGAATTATGACAGTTCAAAATTCACTTCGCTATTTTAGTAATAAACGTATGCCACTAGAGTAAATGTTTATAAATATCGTATGCAATTTGTAAAACTGTAGCCTATTATACTTAAAAATTTCATACGCCTAGTTTATTGACGATAGATTATATGCTATTCAAATGCTGAAACTTATTTTTCCTATGCAATCGTACATATCTATAACCAGTCAGATTGTTGAATTGTAAAACCATTAATTCTCAACCATTCTAACAACTTACATTAATTAAATTTAACAAAAGTCATTTCTAGTTTCTGACAACAAATTATGTAAAATAGTCCTAAAGAATATGTTCCTAAGTTTTGTTACTTACAACACTTTCCTAAGTGTATACTTAGATAATGTATGGAACTGTTTATCAGTGACCTTTTTTATTCATAGTCTCATTTTGTATAGTCATTTTTCAATTAGGTATATCTAGTTACTCCTTATGGATTGACTGCTGTTCGTGAGTAAAAAAATGTTAGGTCGCTTCTCTACCTATAATACATTCATCATAACAAATCGAGATATGAAGTTTATAAAAATTATATTTCAACATTATTTCCAATATATAGTACTCGAAAGTTCAAAGAAGTCTATTAAAAAAGTTGTTTGCATTCCAAAGAATGATATTAATTAATTCATATTGTTATATGATAACAATCTTCCTTAAAACATTGATAAATTTTAAATTCACTTCATATTGTTTACTTGAATCCTCTCATTGATGTTTAGGACTTCAATTGATCAGTCTCTTAAGGCCTTAATCCATAAGCATTATAAGCAAAGATGGATAGTGGCTGACAGTGAAATCCAGGACGCGCGTTTCGTCCTATTTATGACTCGTCAGCTGAATGTACCCGCATCCCAGAATTGGTGTCCACTATGGGACTCGAACCCAGTGTCTTTCGCTTGAAACGTCATTGCGCTAACCACTCACCTAATGAGTCCTGATAGTCAGTTGCTTGTGCAATGAGGTGAAGTTTAAATTCACTTGGTATTGTTTACTTGAATCTTCCAATTGATCAGTCACTTATTGGAATATGTACATCCTGTGCGTATTGCCTCGATATTGTCTTAATTCACAAGCATTATAAGCAAAAAAACAGATAAATGCGAGTAATTAAAAATTTGAATCATTTTTATGTAAATTGACAAGATGATAATCAGTCATAGGAATTATAAATATCCAATGAAGTTGAACAACAATCTAGGTCATGACAAATCAAGTCATGTAAAAAAATTAGTGTTTTTTATAAATGGAGTTATTTCAAGCAAACCGAAAGAACTTTTCTATAATGTTCTCAACAAACGTAATATTTGTAATTTTAAAATAGAATAAAATCTCCGAAGTCATTTGAGCATAAGAATGAAATAATCATTTCCCTTTAAAAAAAGTTGAAATAAAGTCAGATCCAAAGAAGTGAACATTTTAAGTGGATTTATCTGTAAACAGTACCTTTAGTGGACATATAACTTCTCGGTAAATAGAGGAACAACGTATGTGATTAGAGAATATTTTTTAGTTAACTAGTGATGGAAACTCATTATTCTGATTACAGAAATTCCACCGCTCTTTATTGAAACCACTCTCTTGTTTCGTTAACTATTTTCGAATATCGAGATCAGTTAACAGTGGGTGATAAATACTATTTTCTTATTATAATTTCTCCTTGAGTGATGGTTCGTGAATGTAAAGTAAAAATTCAAAATATAAACTTGCTAACGAGTATATTCTTTTGGACTATTTATTAAGGCAGTGGATATCGACATCAGGCATCTCACGTGAGTTCGTTTGTAACTCAAAATGTCGTGCAAATATTAATATCGTCAATGTCTATACATCGGGAAGAATTAGTCAAATTGTCTGTCTGAATCTGCATTTACATTTTAGTCGTCAAAGATTCATATCTTTTACTGTGTATATAAATATGTATTAAGTAACGTAGATACATGAAAAATATGAAGGCTTTGATCCAAAATCTTCCGAAAAATTGATTTTTCACTATTTTAACAACATGACTTTGAACAAAGTGTTTTCGCCAACCAGATTACTACGACTAACTTATCTCAAACCTTACTACTATGATTACTTCTGAACGTTTGATTTCACTATTGAAAAAAGTTACTTAACATTTTTACTAATACTTTGATCACAAAAGAAAATGCTTCGAATTTCAGCAGGATTGTTGGTTTATTTGACGTTTGGTACTATAGAAACAATCAATATGATGATGTTTTTTGTCACCTCGAAAATATCAATTTTTTATCCGTCATCTAATTTTCTTCAGAAAAAAAAACAAACAAACAAAATTGAAAACGCACAAACAACTTGTATTTTCGTACAAAATTAAAAAAGGTATTTACAAACGATGGAAAATTATTTGTATATGTTTATCATTTATTCTGTTTCTGTAGCTTGAAGGACATAAATAAATCACAGGACAAAGATAAACGATGGTAATTAACTGCGCTTGAAAAGCCAACACGAATAACGATTGTGATTTATAAAGCATTGTAAATAGTTGCAGCATTTAGTTGCTATTCTCCATTTGATCTAGTTCGATAACATAAATATTTCTCAAATAACCATTGTATTTTTGTACATTATCAACTGGAAACAATTTGTTTGGTATATGCACAACTACTCCAATTACATTGTCTAATTGACAATTTACTAACTTTTGTGCATTAAGGCCCGATTCCTGAAGAGAAAGGAAGTTTTGTATAAAGATTTTGAGAGAGTTTCAATAGACTACTTAATTGAAAATTTTTTAAAAAATTGCCTTTATTACAAACAAATTAAAAATTAAGCTGAAGATAATTACTAGCATGGTACTATACAATTTAACACCACATACTCTTATCTGAGTATCTGTTAGTTTTTTTTATATTAGATAATATAAAGACATTCTTTTTAATGAACAGAAAGTACAGGTCGATTTGTCAGACCATTACTAGTGCTAATTGATAAGGTCATATATAATCATTAGATTACGTAAGAAGCATCTATTTAGGCACTTGGAAAGACTTCTATCAATAAAAATCATTGTGCCACAATATTACAGAAGATAGTGATGAACAGTAAGCCAACAAGTAAGTCCTACAGATGTAATTTTAAAAAATTTCGAATAATATGTGAATTTACTATGGAAGTACTACAGCACTAGAGTTTACAACATAAAAACTCATATAACTCTAATTTATAAGAAGCCAGTAGTATGATTCTATTCCTCATGGTACCATCAATAGTATTGCTTATGGCTGAAACATAATTATTATTTCTGTAAAATCTTCTATAATCTTAAAAGAAACATCCTTCAATAATAATATTACAAAGGGAAATGTAGAGACCTTCATAAGGTATCCCACTCAGTTATAAATTGTAAGATTTGACTAATACTAAACAAGGAGAAAAGATTGAATTCAATAATGTTTGGAATTTGGTTAAATCGAAGATAATTCTAATCAACAACTGAAATCCGTCAAACAAACATGACGAAAAATTACTTTGTTCAACTTTAAAAGATTAGTACTAAGTATTTGTGAACTTATGGTAACCAAAAATATTCAGTGAAACAATAAATTTGGAATTTTATATTGAATTTATTACTCTGATAACAACAATTAGTGGTTAAAGAGAAACATTTCTTCGACACAAAGATTACATCACAACTGAATTAATTTCCTCTCAAATTACTTTAGCGGATTAGAACTTTAAAAGAAACTTCGTAACTTGTAGTTATTTTCCGGAATTCAGACACTATTTTTAAAAAGGATACTATTCAATGATTATTGTTATAAAATGACATCACCTGATGAGAAAAACACATGTTATATATAGAGGAAATTCAATGAACTTGTTTTGTACACTTTGTGCTTTACATTTTAGGATCGACACCTTTATCTCCATCAATATAAATATAAGTTTATTGAATAAAAGCGATTTTATCAACGATAATTTACACAGTAACATAGACCAATATTCAATCTTTAAGAGAAGGTATTCCTGGTTATAAACAGAGTTAACACCAAGACGAACAGATTTATGAAAGTAGTGAAACAGTTATGATTAAATAAGATGACAACAGTGCATGTGAATCAATGGGCTAAAAGTGATAAGCGATGTAGGTTTTAAACTTTAAGAAAGATATTGTATTTCTTGAGGTTGATGATATATATATATATATATATATATATATATATGGCTGTGTGACAAAGATCTTCAGCAACGCTCGTCGATTACTTAATATTAATTAACTATTTACTATTAGCTGGCATCTTTATGAATTATTAGAAGCAAATAAGAACATATATCGATTGGATACCTTCAACAAATTTGATTGTGTTACATTGAGTAACTTGCAAAGTCGCCAAGAGGCCATCTGAAAGTAAAGTTTAGCATAAAAAGTAAATAAATAAAAGGAGACGATGATGATAATAAGAAATGGAAACATAAGATGAAAACTTCACACAATCAAACATACAAAATAGCGTAGCAGTAAAAAATCAACACTGATTTACTGTATAATACGAAGTTGTTATAACTTCATAAATTTCATTAGTCAGTCATAAGCAAAGTAGAACTTAGTACATATATTCATCGATTTAAATCGCCATATTATATCAGAACAGTAAGATACAACTATCAAGACAAATTCCAGAGTAGTGGAAATGGTAACAAAATCAATCGTAGTAAAAAAGAGTAGTCATAAGTGTGATTCGATAAGGAAGAGTGAACTTGCAAAAATGAGGATTATATTCATCATTAGAAATGTAATTTTGAAACTCTTAATTTGAGGGGGAAAACAAAAAGTGAGTGCATATGAGCTACGATGATTGATTCCGAGCCATTTCATCCAATGCATTCAACCACTGATTAACGGTAAAGGTGTGAACCTTAATCCAGTAAATTTGTACCTGCCAACACGGCTCAATACAACGATACGACTTGAAAAAAATGCCTAATAAATTCAAAGGAATAATGTATTATATCTATAATTTTTAAGTCAATGACTGTCTTAAAACGTACAAATACCTATATATATATATATATATATATATATATATATATATATATATATATATATATATATATATATATATATATATATATATAATTACGAGATGAAACAGGTACCTGTCAATGAATATAGGTAATATTACTATGCATTCCAATTTTTCAGTATTGTTACTACAACTACTAATTGTACCACCAATACTACTACAGCATCAATAAAGATATTATTAGTAACTTAGGAAACTACTCATTTCTCACAAATAAAATATAGACCGATTTCCGTGTTACTTTTAGTTCTTTCATAAATAAACAAAAATGAGGAGGAAAATAAGATAAAGGAAACCATCAGTATTATCGTAAATTTGACAGTTCTACAGACAGATGATAATTATAAGAATGAAAGAGAGCCATTTAAGTTCATAAAACCTAATTTTATGTTTGGATGCCGACTACTTTTGTATCTTGTAAAATAACGAATTAACATAGAGAAAAGATCATTTCAGGAAATCTGTAAATGTCGACTCCATTAATTTAATTAATTATTCAGATCATATACAAAATAAAACTATGCAGAGAATAACCATGAAGTGAATAAAGTATTCAACATTTAGTTACTAGATCTCAAGTTTTAATCTATTTTGTTTTGAGTAATTGGACAGTTAGCACATTTTAGCTAAAAGTCAACTACATAACTATATATTTAGTTACAGGTCTTTTTTAAATGACATTCGTGTTTCAACATTTATTAATTTTACTTATTGTTCGAACTGTTATTTATGTACTCGGCTACTATCATTAGCTATTACAATCAACCATCGACCGTATCTTCGGGTTGAGTACATGAGTCTGTACTTAGTTACAGTATTACACTAAAAATAAGCAAAAAACAACTAATGATTACTTACATTTAGTGTCAATTCTACTGATGATTTATGTCTTTTCAATTTATTAACAATGGTTTGATCGTTGTCAAAATTGATTAAAACTCGTACTTCTGTTTCCAATCGTTGAAGAGGATTTGATAAGAGCGCTAAACATCGGACACATTTCAAGTTTTCTTGTTTAGAAAAATATTTGATTTTATTAGCAACACCAGAATATATTTCAAAATCCGCGCATGCACAATAAGGACAAATAGGCCAAACATGTGATCGACTTGTGTCTACATGGATCAATGTACCTGCATGATTTATCAACATATTATAATGATAATGAAAATATGATAATAAAAATTGGAAGAAATTCACGTGGGAGGTATTTAAACTTTAAGATAAGAAGTCTTCATGAATATTAAATGATAATTATTAATCGGCGTTGACTTTTGTTCTAATCGATAACAGATATGTATAGAGAATGAAAAAGGGCAGACTAAAACAGTATCAAAACTGTTAAGTTCTGACTGAGAAAACAACTATTATCATTACTATTATAACAAACTACTGTAACCATAATATTAAAATTGAATTGTCGATTAGTAGCTTAAGAATATACAAGCAAATGGTAATTCTTTAAAAAAATAGAAGAATAAGAAAGTATCGATTAGAAAACACGCTGTAGTTTAGTACAATTTATTATAAGGCAAATAGACTGGTATGTTCATTTAAACGAAAGTATAGAAAGATGGTATTATAACATCCATAAACATTGGAACGATTTTACTCTAAACTGTATCGACTATCAGGATATTGGTAATTTCTTTTTAATAATGTACAAAATTTAATTTTCAAGAATTAGTATGCCTATATACCTAAGAACATGAATAAAGATAAAGAATCTTAGTTAGTGAAGCATATAACTAAATAAGACATAGTGTAAGAACCCTAACAGCCCGAAGATGAGATTTAACGTATGATTTTAGAAGATCTCATAAACCATATTCCGCAAGGTTGAATATTGAAGTCTACCTATATATGGGGTAGAGAAATGGGAGGAAACTTGGTGAAACTGAATTAAACAATCGAAGAGAAAAGGAAATGGTTAATAAAAATAAGAATGATGTTGGAAGTGTGTATGTAAAGTGAATGAGATTTTCTCAAATTGGTCATGTTTGGAGGTATGGGGAAATTAGAAAAATCGACCACTAATTCCTTGCGTGTATTCACAAGTACATGAAATTTTTAAAAAAAGAACAGGGTTAGGAGCAAAAAAAGGAAACAAAAATATTCCTACCTGAAAAACTAACAATTTGATGAACACGTAACTTATTCACATCTTCAAACGACTGTAATAAAATATGGTTGGAATAAATCTGTTTGGAGAGAGAATTTTTTAAAGCGTACATCGATAAAGAATGTTGAGAGTAATTCTCAGTCTTAAGTAACGTAAAACGATCTAGAAGAATGAAACCTAGATGAAAAAGAGAATAATAAAAATTATCATAGTTTATAAATTAATTAATGAAACTTGACAGAATTTTATAAAATCTGTAACGAATACAATTTTGTCGATTCGAACGAATTTAAGTTCCACAAATAAAAATAAAAATACTAAGATTAGAGTGGTGACTATACCCATTCGAATAAATTGTTTGATCACACTCAATTCTATGAGTAATCACAGAAGGTAAGAATCACATCGACAGTCAGTAAGTATACAATATTTTCAGACTAAAGAGCATCGTAAAGTCAATGTTTTTAAATATAACCTACAAATAATCTGCTAGAAAGTAAGGTAAATATGAAAGCCTTATTCTTCACTCATCTTATTGTCATTTTAGATTTCGAGTTTGTAAATATTTCTTACACTGTATGATTATGGTCACTCGATAAAGTGAATAATAACCATCAGCTTTGTAAAATATAGTAATTCATTTAACTGAACTGATATTTTTGTTGGTATTCTCCCCCATTTTTATCGAGATAAATCCATAGCTATTTCTTCGACGTTGTATCTCGTATTAGTCAACACATTCTAATAAAGTTTATGTGACATACATTTTTTCTGCTACAAAACAGAGAACAAGTTTGTGCTACATGTACTACTACTTCAACAGATAGTTCATTTTTAGGTAACACATGTTATTATTCACTAATCACCTACAGTTACATCAAACGCAATATGTAAAATCACTAACTACTTATTGGTAGATCATGGTAATATCAAAACGCTATACTTGAAATAGATTAATGACTTCTCATGTTACAAAATGTAAATATCATTAGGTGTCATGAATTGGAATTTTATGATTCGATGGAAAAATTTTGAATTTTTACAATAGATAAATAAACGCAATAATACGGTATGGCAAAGCAATGATTGTTTATGAGGCATGATTAATGATTGCAATCCATGAGTGAACTGAGCTCCTAGACAAGAAAGACCACTAGTCAGAAGAATAAACTATTTTCTATCAAACCAAATAGCATACTTATAAACAAAAGATTAACACATACAATAAATAATGCAAGATAGTAGTAGCATGAAGCTGTGAAGAAAAACCTACATTCTATATATAAAGATAATATTGTCTAAAAAAACCGAGACTACTATATACAACTTACTATCAAAAAATAATCCTTGGTCAATGATTACATAAACACCAAATCCAGTAGTAGATAAAAAACTTGATGTTGAAGAAATAGCAAATAATTGTTCATAAATTAACTCTATAGGTGAAGTAACATCGACTAAACAAATACATGGAATAAATGCCGATGTAATAGATTCAGAAATCCATAAGTAAAATATTCGTGTAGATTTTTGTTCATCAGTAAATATATTTAAATGTTTTAAAGAACATTTCAGTTTTCTACTTTCATGATTATACCAATCTAAAATGATATCTTTGACAAGTGAACCTTCTGCTGGCTAATTAAGATAAAATAACAGAATATTATATATATACTACATGTTTTAATTAGAATACAATTGTATCGTTTGTGTAAATAAACATATTGAATAAATATTAGTCATTTCTTATCAGATAATATTGGTCACAAAACCATATCAGTTGAATAAATCATAGGATAGTTTTATTCTTGATATGCAATATTTATATTTAAGATTAAACCTTAAAATAAGTTGATTTTCAATAGTATCCAGCTAATAAGTTTATATATTCCTACTTCACACTATTTGTGATACAAGTAGGTTATAATACATTTTGAATTAGTATTTGTCTGGTATTAAAACATTAAGAATAAAAAAATTCTTTATTCAAGTCCATGTAAGATAGTAGATAATTTTCAATGTGCTTAATAAATTAACTAATAATAACCGCTTTGTATTTATTGAGAAATGTAAAAAATCAACATAATATGTGATAGAATTTCATAATGTTGGTAATATGCAAATTCTCTACAATCAATGATCAAACGTCATTAACTGTAAAAATTTCATTGATACAAATTTTAGTTATTTTTCTCGTAATAATACTTTTCTTTCTTTTCGTCATTACTGTGTATAAAACCTCTGATGTCTTCTAAACAATTTACCCACATTTCAGTGTTAATTTCGTTTTTAAAACAAACAATGTAAACAGATTTATATACAATAGTTTTATGAGAAGGGGTTTAATGGAGATTGTAGTAATTTCAATAGTTGAGATCATGAGTCAACTGAAGACTTAACACAATGGAAAACCTGGAAGAACTGGACGGCCGTTTCGTCTTATTGTGGAACTTCTCAGCAGTGAATATCCACGATCCCCAGTAGAGTTAAACCGGGTCTGTTGTGAGATGGTAACTCACTAAAGACAATGATGGATGCGTTGCTGAATTTCGTGGATTAGTTGAAGTTAGACATTGACACCGTTGGATGCCGGCCGGCTCAGTGATCTAGTGGTTAAGAGCTCGCACGCGAGACTGATAGGTCCTGGGTTCAAATCTCGCGAGGGGGCGGGATCGTGGATGCGCACTGCCGAGGAGTCCCACAATAGGATGAAACGGCCGTCTAGTGCTTCCGAGTTTTTCACGGTGGTTTAGCTTCAATCGATTCATGATATCAACTATTGAAATAGTTTTATGCTTATTAAATAATTTTTTTGTAAATTTAATACTTTTCATAATCAACATTTTAATTATCTTTCAGAATTAGATAAGACTGAATGTGAGAAGTTTCCTATTTTACTGTTTATGAAAGTCATTATATTAATAAATAGTCAAATTTACTTGTGATACATTTTTACAAGTAATTCACAAATATATCGGTATTGATATTTCAAGGGAAAATGAAAAAGTTTGAATTACATTGATGAGCAAAATTTTGAATTTATTTTACGTTGATTTACTGAAAGTTTTATAAATATAATTTCCTTCTTAATGTATTACATTAACTCGGCCCCAAGTACTGAGCAACTACTCGTTCAAAAAAAACATCCTTATAAATTTATTAATACTATTTTTTAAAGGAACTACACTTTAACGGGGGACAGTGTTCAAACCTTATCTTTTTTTCTTGAATTCTATGCATCATTTACGTATTTTATAGGAAAGAAACATCGATCTATGGAAAAAACATCCATAATACTTGTAAGAGTCTATTAGTTTTTTCGTGTTTTCACATTATTGATTGTTAATCAGATTAATAATTAAAAACGAACAGCTAGTTTTTCAGTTGATTCAATTTAAATTGATTATAAAAGATATTACCAAGGCAATAGATTCCAAAACAAAATCCTATAAATATATTCTCAAATGAATACTTGTCAACTAAATGATACAAGTGATTGGCTTGAAGACATAAACGAAATACATATCAAGTTTAAAAAAATAAAGAGCATTAAAAACTCTTTCATTTTTAAAAAGAAGTAAACATAAGTACATTAAAAAGTCTTGTAGCAACCTCCCACATTCACTCATAATTATTCCTAATTGAGGTGGTTTAACGTTCAAATCTCAGTAGTATATTAGATGTGTTATTTAATATCCCATTAATTACTGTACATTAACACAGATTATTTATCGATGTACATTTTTATTGGATACGTGTTAATGTGTATCTGTTTGCTTATTTACTTATTCCATTAAATTTATAGATGTATAAACAGATTTATTCACTAGTACAGTTTACCTGTATGTATGAAATATCACTTTCCCAAAATATTTCTTATCCGACTAATTTATATGGCATTTTTAACTAAACCTACTTACACAATATGATGTCTCAGAAATTAACTCGGAACTTTTAGTCTAGAAATTAAATGAGGATTTAAAATTATCGGAGTTATTTGGGACTAGAGGGAGAGAGTTTTTGATGGAAATGTTGACAAGAAAAATAAAGTGAAAATTCACTAAGAGAAAAGTCTAAATCATAAATTAGTTTTTCTATTTGTAGTCTGTATATTAATTTTTGATTGAGATCATGAACCGATTGATGTTAGACCAGCATTGAAAACCTGGAAGCACTGGACGGCACAGATTATGAGCTATGAGAAACATTTAGTGTGTTGTGAAATCAACGAAATTATTTCGGATCACACTTTAAGACAAAATGTCAGATTTTCAGACGATGTACCTCTGGCCATTAGGTTGTAGTTTCATAAATACGTTTGGATGGTAGTGATACAGCATGATAAATAATTATGTAGTGTTTCTGAAAACAACAGTGGTTTCCATGAGAAAGTTCACTTTTGCTTCAGCCAGCTTTATAGCTGAAAAGCTAGCAAACGAATAATCAAAAGTCAAGTTAAAAGTCCGTATGAAATGATACACACAGGATGCTTCATGTACTAACTTATCATAAACATAAATATGACACATTGGCAATATTAGCAGACTGGTCATCTGAAATAATTTTTTTAACAAATAACAAATAAGGGGAGAAAAGTAAACAAATGAAAATAAGTTTATAAAATCGTACATTTGGAGCTCTCTGGAATTAACGAAAAGAAGAACATAAAAGAAAAACCTACAACGACACATCATATCTATTGTAGGCAACGGAAGATGGTCGCACAGTATCGCGAACTGATTCAAGTTGGATATGTCAACTAATATAAGTTCGCGGTGTGAACTGTAAAAAAAAATTCAACGATCTCCACAAAACCCCAATACTAAAAATAAAAGAATAAGAATATACATACCTCAAGTACTAAGTAACCACTGATCGAACAGCGCGTATAGTTACCCAGATTACTCTATAAAATGAAAAATAAGGGTCCGTTTACATTTACTTTTACAATAAAGTAAATGAACCAGACTTTAGCAAGTTAAAATATATGACATATCTGTAGTAACGTTACATAAAATATGATGAACATGGAAAATTGTTTGATAGTAGTCATTGAAATTCACCTAATCAGCGATTTGTAAGTGAAAACGTCCACATTTATTAGGATGTCGGTATATCTAGTCGGCATGTTTCCAGTCGACTGAAAAACACATACTACATTCCACCACTAACCAATAACAAATGATATGAAAATATGTTCGCCGGGCATGATAGCATTAAATCATCAGTACAAGCAGCCGACTGTCATGTGACCTTAAGGACTTGATTTTTCTTATGGACCAAAAATGTAAAATATATAATCCCTAAATAAGTATACATAGTTTCAAATAGTACGCTACTCGTGAAGTTGGTGTGAATGCCGGTGAAACTAATTTCTACTGAAAGTGACAAAGAGTAGAATAAATTTATGGCTGATAGCCGAATGCATAAATTACTGCATGATGAGGAAAAGGATTACTGTAAAAACTCTGTCACGGAAAAACCTATTTTGCAATACTCCCTGGTTTTCTACTTTTTACAATTGATTGGTCATTGATTAGTGACAATATCATGACTATATAGTCCTTTAGTTGCTGATGGGCTTCTGTAGATCAAGTTGCAATGTGGCCACTAGTCCATTTAGGTAACTTGACATCACCTGGAATATGTTAACGTCTCAACTAGCATGAAACCTAGATTCAGAATCTCCTGTCAACTACTTCCAACCACTTAACATCTTGATATTTAATTTGACCTTTAGCTGATTCTAATTGATAAAAAAGTATCAACTAAGAATACATTTGTTAAGACTGGTATAAAATTGAGAAAAAAAATAATGTTCATAGATAATCACTTACTTTGTATGGAGTTGACAAATTGAAATGAATATAATTTGATTCCACCAAACTGAAATGAGATGCACGAGCATCCCATAACTTTATCGAACAGTTTGAATATTCTATGGACGTATTTTCATTGATAGAAATATGGGGATCAGTTGAACCATGGATGAAATGATTTAACTTTAAAAGGAGTGAAAATCAATAAAAAATTTCAACAGTATATGATTTTAGCATTACAGTTTTATGAGAAATCAATAAGTAGAACAAGACTTTAATATATGCAGCGAAAATAAAGGTAAAAGTGGAGTAGTAGTTAAGTTTGGTTTTACTAACATTTGGTTTTCATAAAGCTGTCAATACAATTATTAAACAATTACAAATGACCTATACAACACAGGATTGCTCTGTGCTAGTGCGTGTTCCTATATAACTGTTTACAGCTAACGTACTAACGAATTTGTACGATGGACTCTTAGCACTGATATTTCGCGAAGGTATTGGCTAAACTTTATAAGTTAGTGATGTTGAAAACATTAGTTGGCTGGTTGAAATTAACTTTATACATGTTTAGTTAGTCTATTTTGAAAGAATTCTTAGTCAGACCAAAATATATCTGTAGAGTGATCAACTGCTTTTTTTCGATATACTATAAAGGATTATAGGAATTCATGGTTTGAAGGGTTGGATAACACCCATTAAGAGATTGATTGAGAACAGTTGCATTTAAAGCTATTTTGCCTCCAAAAAAAATGATTTTTTAAAACTAATGTTTTGTTGAAAGTAATGTAACTAGTTTGTAGACGGACTACAGGTAAGTGAATGTTGACCTTCTATAAACTATCTAATTCAATAATATCTTGAACATTATAATAATAAAAGCAGTCAATATCTAGATGAAAAGTGATATTGATACTAATTGAAATGATAACAGTATTTAGTTTGAGCGTGTATTTGTAAGTGATTTCACTGTATAACTGAAGTGAACTACAGTGCAGGATAGACTGAATACTATATATATATATATATATATATATATATATATATATATATATATATATATATATATATATATATTATCCAAACTTTTTCTCAATTTATTTCTACTAAAATCAACGTACAGCATCAAAGTAAATAGTATACATTTTTAATCATAATAAAATATTCTAACTGGAAACAAATCTGTTTTTTGTCCTTCACATACCTGGGAAGCATCATCGATAAACAAGGAGGTTCAGATGCAGACGTCAAGGCGAGGATTGGCAAAGCAAGGACAGAATTCCTTCAATTAAAGAACATATGGAACTCAAAACAACTTTCAGCCAACATCAAAGTCAAAATCTTCAATACGAACGTCAAGGCAGTTCTACTGTACGGAGCTGAAACCTGGAGAACTACAACCACCACCATCAAGAAGGTACAAGTATTTATCAATAGCTGTCTACGCAAGATACTTAACATCCACTGACCAGATACCATCAGCAACAGCCTTCTGTGAGAGAGAACCAACCAGCTTCCAGGTGAAGAGGAAATTAGGAAAAGACGATGGAAATGTGTTATATTTTCGCTCTTACGGTTATAACCCAGCTATTCCTATCGCTTAGTATTCACGGTCACAGATTCACTCGACAAGGCCCCAAATCAGAACACGATTGAGCAGGAAGGAGATTATATTCCAAATAACAAGGTTAGGTGAAGCAAGAAGCAAGAAGCAAAATAGGAAAACCGTTAGTATATTTATAGCTTTTTACATAAGAAGAATCTAGAAGCTTCTCCATGTATAGACTGGCGCTGATTGGATAAGAATCAGCCAATCAGTGTGCGCCAAAGCAATCGTGCATTGAGCATGCTTAAATCCAATCTATGTCCCACTAACAAAATGAATAGGACATACATTGAGGAAATCATCAAACTGCATCACGAGACAAGCCTTAACACGGAATCCTGAAGGGAAGCGGAAAAGAGGACGGCTAAGGGACAAAATACGTCGAGAAATAGAAGCGGATATGAAAGGGACGAATAAGAACTGGAAAGAGCTGGAAAGGATTGGCCAGGACAGGGTTGGATGGAGAATGCTGGTGAGTGGCCTATGCTCCATCACGAGGAATAACAGGCGTAAGTAAGTAACTCTATTCATCGTCAATTCTATTGTTTCCGACTTTGAAATACGAAAGATAAATGAAAAAACTGAAAAATACTTACATTATTGGCATATTTCGATTCCAAACTATGTCTAATTTCATTTAAGTGATTATGTATTTCTTTTTGAACACTGTCATAAAACCAACAAAAATATTAGTTTTAATGTTGTATTATATATATATATATATATATATATATATATATATATATATATATATATATATATATTAAATTATATATATATTTTATTAAATTATTCCGATTGATTTTTCATTGGATGGAGGAATAGAATAAAATTCATGGATAATATTATCATATTCAGTCAGATTAAAAAATTCCAAACAAGTTGAATATACTACCAAACGAAACAAAATAGAATCTATAGGTCAATGATTGGGTTGCATGAGTGAGCTTTACGATATCTAATTTAATCTGGATAATTGAGTAGTTCATACTGGAACTTCATACAAAATGTGTAGTTGATGATTGAAAATAGAAAAGTCTAATAGTTTATTAAGATTCATTAAACTAGTGGAATGGGAAAATTATGGAATTATACCTCTGTTGTTACATAACGATTATTTTTTTTTAGGGGTGAAAAATGTGTAGTTGAGACTATTCAGAAAATATATGAACAATTTAAATAAACAATTATCATATTAACATGAAAAAATTAAAAGTTCTACCTGTAAGTGTATAAACATGAAATTGTGATGAGATAATAAATTTTCTGGTGAAAAGCTTAGTGAAACAAAGTAACATATTTTAGAAGTTATGATGCTGAAGATATCATATAAACTATGATGGGATAAAGAAATATTTATATGTGAAAATCTGAAACAGATTTAATTACAGTAAACCTCTAAATTGTTCTTTACAGTCTGATATTATTCATATTCAAGTGACTGAAAATTAAAAACAACTTAGATATATCATATTTTGGGGTAAATTTTAGCTCATCTAAGCTTTGTTTTACCTAGTTTTAACGAAAAAAGAACAACTAAAAGTATAATCATTAATGAAATAAACAACACCTACTTGGCCTGCAACTGATTATCAGGAAGTTGTAAAAGTGACTCAGATGTGTACACATTTCCAATATGAAAATCTTGATAAGAAACAACAGGATTATTGAGATTACCCGAATGAACTAGCTGATCCGGTAGAAAAATTAGTCCAGGACAATCGTTGTAATGCCAAACTAATAGAATATGTCTAAATGATAATGTACAAATAGATATACGAATTATGCAAGATATTAATCATATTCATTACATTTAACAAAAAATATTTTTACATACAACCTTCCTATCTCTCATTAACCAACCATGACATGATAATTCCAAGTGAAATACAGGAACAGTTGTGAAAAAAATCGAAAAGAAATATTCCCATGATTTCCGCAAGTAAGGTAAGAGAACATCTATGAAGAATGCACAATTGATTGGCTATCTGAACTCAGTAGCTAAGTGGATAACGAAACGGTGTTCGAAGCGAAAGTTACTGGGTTCGGGTCCCGTAGTAAACATCAACTCCGGGATGCAATTACATTATTATTATTAGTTTTATCCACTACTACATTTTTGGTACAATATAGAATCCTCATCACAAAGTACTTCAACAAGTTTCCGTTTGTTACTTCTTGGTCGATCCAGTGCTAAAAGTATTCTTTGCCATTTTGAAAACCCGGAGCAGTTAACTCTACTTTATAAGTAATTAGTACTGAGAACATATCTGGTTATTTGGTAACCAAGCAGAGGTTTCTATAGCTAATTTTAAGTCTTACATTTTTTTGTAAGGGTTAGTGATATTTTTAGGTTGTTCAAGCAAATGTAGGTGGACCGAGGTTCAAATCTGAAAATTAGTAATAAGTGGTCAGATGTTTTAATACTAAAGCTACTACTCGACTCGAGCACTCGAAATAAACCTATGGAAACAACACTACGAGAGAAACAGGAGACAATAAACTATTATCAAACTAATTCTTCATCAAAAAAACTCAAATAATTATTGCGAAGATACGTTTACATTGTATACTTCCCTTTCTGGATTTTCTTATTATTCAACATATTTATTACTCGCTTTTTATTATTCCTTGATGATACCTATTTTGTTATTTATCCATTTCATCGACGTTTTGTCATTGTTCTACCATAAATTAGGACAACTTGGGTATAAAGTTCTACATTGGTGTATATGGTTGGTCTATTATACCTCTTATGATGCTTAATCTTCCCATAAAATATTTTCCTTGACAATTATAACACACATTCTGTTGTTTCCAGTCATATTACTTAAAACGTAAAATTTTTCTTTTCAAGACACCTTTTAACTTCAGAACATGTAAACATTATGCTGTGCAGCACAAAAACATAAATTTAAATGAAAACTGAATGCACTCAGCTGTTGGTGCATTATTTCACCAACCTTAATTTCTTCAGTAACCGAAATCGATAGCAACCCAAGACTAAAAAACACTTCCTATTAAATATTTCTGTCAATATATTTTCGGAAGAATCCTGAAACGTTTGAATGACAGATGACTTTGGTTCTGCTAATCCCTTAATTCGAAATAAGTACATTAAGAAATTTGAAAATATAGTTATATCACTTAAAAACGATTAAGTAGTATTATAAAGTGCATATAATGAAACTCGCCGGATTCAAATACATGATTGTATATCTTTAAATTAAAAAAAAATGAAATCGAATCCACAGTGTTAATACTATTTGAAGTAGTTTTTAACATAAATTTAAAGGTTATTAATTTCTACATGGTGCCAAAATACAATGCCACCACTAAGTGGCATGAGCTGCAGAACCATTAAAATCTTGAGACCATGGACTAATTGTTCCATCTTAGTCTACAACTGTCAGGAAACGGTAATCATCTAGACTCCTCAAATTTCATAATGAAAACGGTACTTGAAATAACCCGTTGTGTCGCTGAATAAGAAAAAGAGTATCCAGAGAAGAAAATCTTTCCGACGAAATCATTTACTTAAGCTGTACATTCGTATTTATAATTATATGGAAAATATATGTCTATAGAAGGATAGAAAAGATTGAATCACAAATTAATTCGACTTTTTACCGATTAAGTATCCAATGTTTCGAAATTCATATGTACAGACTAACAGCGATTCGTTGTGATGGTACCCATTCAAAATCGTCAGCGATTAACCGTCTCAATTGTGACTAAATTTCATATATAACGGATTTTCACAAGGAAGCCATCCAAGAAAATTGACTTGATGAAGATCCGTCCTATCTACGATTCGGCTGCATGAAGCATGAACAAACAAGTACTCTGAAATGAACTAAACTCTGTTTACACATAGTTTCAATATTTTCAAGTTCAATGAATTCTCAATCGATATTTAAAAACTGACGAGTATTTTGGCTAAAATTTCTTAAAAGTTTGTGTAAGAATTACTATAAAAATGAGATTTGAAGATACTGGAGAAAAACCTAGCTAACTTGGGATTCAATGAAACGACAATCCAAATCACTGCATTAAGTGATAACTGACAAAAATACTAATTATAACAATAAAATCACTGGAGTAAAATAGACCAGTATAAACTTTTTAGAGGAAGAATTATTGGATGTATGTGCACGATGAGCATCCGTTACTTAACATTTTCAATCATAAGGAAAACATAAGACACACAATCAACCATATTTCTTTATGTGGTTACATATAAGAAGTGTGTCATATTACAACATTTTGAGAAGGGTGAATTATGTAAGGTTTACCTTCTACACAGAAATCATAACGAACTGCCTACTATATAGATTCAATCCTAATGTGTAGACAAATGCATACAAAGATAAGTGTGGAACAATTCAGTAAGTTATTCAATAATTTGGATTTAAATAAATATGTAGTCTTAATATTCATGATTAGAAAAAAAGGTGATATAGAGGAGAAAAACACTTATTAAGGTATATGTATGGGAATCTATGAATGACATAAACAATAGCGTAGGTGTTTTATAAATATATTATATATTATGGGAAAGTTCAAAACCACACACTAACAACAAAAAACACTGTTTCAAACTACTTAATCAGAGAATAATACTAGCAAAAAAAGTCTAATCAACTTACTTTAAAACGTTTTGGACAATTCAAAATAATAAATGGATCACCTACACAGAAAATAAACAAAAGAGAAATAAAGTAGGTTATATGATGGAGTTTTAAAAGAAAAAAAACATGGGTGCTAAAAAAGAAATTCTCATTTTATTAAAATAAAAGTAAGTATAAACTAAACAAATAATAAACTTTTCAATAAAATCTCATGTTCTACAGTTATAAATCCAAATTAATGTTTAAAATTACAAGATGATTTCATTCACTATGTGTTTTCCAAAGTTATTTATGCCACTAATCTTTTACGAGCAAAGATGGATGGTGGCAACCGTGGAATCCAGGATGCACGTTTCGTCCAATTCGGGAATCGTCAGCTGGATGTACCCACACCCAGAATCGTTCACTGTGAGACTCAAACCCAGTGCTGTTCGCTTCAAACGTCATCGCGTTATCCACTTAGCTACTGAGTCTTGTTAGTCAATTACTTGTGCAATGGAGTGAAGTTTAATCCAATTGGTATTGTTTCATTTGTATCTTCCCATTGATATTTAGGACTTCAATTGATCAGTCTCTTATTGGCATATGTGCATGCTGTATGGATTGCCTCGATATTGCCTTAAGTCACAAGCATTATAAGCAAAGATGGATGTTGAATTTAAGCTTCACCCCATGGCACAAGCAAGTGGCTATCAGGACTCAGTAGCTAAGTAGATAGCGTTCGAAGTGAACGGCACTGGGTTCGAGTCCCAGAGTGGACATCAACTCCAAAATGCAGGTGCATCCAGCTGACGAGTTCAAATAGAAGGAAGCGCGCGTCCTGAATTCCACTGCTAGCCACTATCTATCTTCGCTTATAATGCTTGTGAATTAAGTCAATATCGAGGCAATACGCACAGTATGCACATATGCCAATAAGAGACTAATCAATTGTAGTTCAAAACATCAATGGGAAGATTCAAGTAAGGAATACCACGAGAACGTATATAAGATTGTTGCGCTTTGAAAAAGGCCCAAACAATTGCTTTAATCGTAAGCTTATGATTCAACAACTTATAAAGCACAGCAGAAGTAAAAACCTAGAAAATTTCAAGTATATTTGACCATGCTATGCAATAAATACAGAGATATATACGAAGCTCTGAGCTGGAGAACAAAACTCCATCAAAATCATTCACTTGAGCTACAAATCTTCTCCACCATATCAATATATACGAAGCTTTGAGTTTAAGTATTTTAATGAAAGATCGACTAACATCATTCGGTTATCCAGATTGAATTAAGTGGAGCAGGATTCGAAGATATAAAACCTAATAGTCAAAAGTTGAATGCTTTAACTACAGGGCCAGTGTTACGACCATGGTATTTATTGGATATGAATTGAATCAATTAACTTAAATTTTGAAAAGTCCAACTTATATATACCATGAGAGTGCTAATAAAGGACTTTGAATTAAAGACTATAGAAAACGAACAGTCTACTTTCATGATTTCCTTCTCTGTATCCATTTTCGTTGCTGCTAATTAGCAAGCAGATAGAGCCAAAATTTATAGATTGACAAACAAACACAAACAACTTACATGATATTAAACATGAACAAGTAATTAGTTCAGGTTTATGAGGGGTTATCTGGGAATTAGGAAAATCATTTTCTACATCACTTAAAACCTCATGTCTCAAACGTTCAACCCAGAAGAATGAGTACATCACAGGCAAACTATTGAATTCATGAGAAGGATATGTTGACCTACCACCAGAAAGAAAACAAATAAACGATCCCTTAAAGCACAATAGAAAGGCAAAATCAGAACTGAACTGTTAAAAATGATCCATCTAGAAAAATGTAGATATCATTATCAGTACAAAATACTATTATTTCCGTACACCGAAATAATCGAATTATCATAGATTATGTTTCGATTCTGTAATTGGTACCAAGCAACATAATGTATGGCTTACCGATTATAAATATAGTCATGTGTCCCGCAGTATTTATTTCCTTATACGACCGTCACGAATCCCAAAGATCTGGTAATAACTCTAACGACAACTGCGATACCATAAAAAATAGTTCTGCTAGCTTCCAGTTCCCTAGCAACTCAAAAAGATCAATCTTATTGAGCGAGACTAAAGCCATTTCAATTATATATTAATTCAGTTGTTATTAATTATACAGTTCTATTTACTGGGTAATTGCAACTGAATACAAAATCATAATGAAATAATCAGCACAACGAAAATGTATTAAGTATCAAATAACTAAATACAACTGCCATAAACTGGAACTCAATGAATAGAATTTACGAAAATGAGCTTAAATTGACTGAGTGAAAATCATCTTAAGTTGATATGCGACATTATTGATCTTCTTTATCGCACACTATATTTAGAAATACAGTACCCCCAACAATGACTACAAATCATTTAGATGAATGATACAGAATGATCTAGGGTTTGAAGTTACCCACAAAACATGGAAACTGACTCAATTCTTAAAATGGAAGAATATACGTCGACCTAGATGAATGTCTAAATGTAGGCAGAAAAACGAATACGAAGTTTTATTATAAACTGATTTATGATCCTGTTTGATTTTGACATTTGCTGGAAATTATTACTGAACTACAAATTTTAATCGTTATCATGTACATGAACTTATTGTCTACGTTCGAAATCAATACTGTCATATGTCAAAATGCGGTTGGAACATCAAATCTATATGAATTTCACCGATCTTATGAGGTGGTATTTCATACTGGCTTTCAGCCTTTTGAAAATGTTTTGGATTTGGACGGTATAAATTTATTTCATGGTGGTCACTGGCATCTCAGATGATCACTCTTTTTTTATCCAATCTATCCGTCTTATCAATTCAAAATTAAGATAAAATCTTCATTTTTAATATAAATTTAAGAGGAAGTTAGTATGATGAAAATCAAACTTTTTCGGAAAATACATTATTTAGCCCCCCACATATAAATAGGGTCAATTTATTGAAATTAACTATACAGTAGAATAACCTACCATGGACTAAATACCATAACAAGATCGCCACATTTTAAATCATTGCCTAAAACGAAATTTGTTGCAATGGATGAAAATAACTCTTCAGTAACAAAAGGGACACCAGAAATAGGTAGAAGGAGGATTGCGAATTTGTTTGATACATTTTCATTAGCATTAGATACTTCAGTTTCATTTTCTAAAGGCGTTACAACTTCACGCACACCGAATGCTACTAATCCAGGCAAACTATCTGAATAATTACGGAATACCCTAAGAATTTGAAAAGTTTTCGAAGTATGCTTAGTAGAATCTATAAGAAAATAAATATGATAAATCTTATGAAAAATTCGGAAAGAGAGCAGAATTAATTGTTAAAATTCGAATTTTTCTAAATTAATTTCTAAGGTGAGCGATTATACGTAAACTGGTGGCACCTTGCGGAATTCATGATGAACACAATGAATAATACTAACGACATATACATGACTACTTATTTCGTACATACGTTCATGAAAAGTTATATAAAGTCAAATATGAGTATTTTGGCGATGTATATTTCACATATGTAAATATTAGGCGGTAGAAAACCATAAAAAACGCGGCAGATATGTGCAGCGTTGGAGTTCCGTAATACAGCGGATTCGAGAAAATTAAGAGTAACTCTAGCTTACAAACGGTGTGAAAAATACAAGTAGATACATATATGCATAAAGAAACAATCAAGGTTAAAATTTAATAATTAACAAACCAATCTGTACAGGATAATCAGTAACATCAAAATAATTAGGCTACCTAAAAACAGAATAAACTCATGTGAGCTTATAACAGTCAAGCCAATACAAACGCTTTAGAAAGGGCTTAAATGACTATATGAAGTAACAATGAAGTCATTGGTAAGGACAAAATACGAGAAAAACAAGAAAGGATGTAGTATTCTAAAAAACAACTGAAAGTTACTTGAATGTCATACAATAATTTGTGATTAATTGATGAAAAATGATTCTCCTGTAATCATATCATCAATCAACAGAATCATTTTACTTTAGATAGTAAAAATTTCAAGTTGGAAAATCTTACTGAATAAAACTCTGGCTAAAGTTCATAAATACATTGTTTAAAAACTAAGTGAGAAGGGTTCATTACATTCAATTCTAAATATGTGGTGTGAACGTTTGACAGGAATTTTGAGGTAGAAGGTAGAGCGAAATAACAGAGACCTCGAATGACACATCTCCAACATTATTGACCAAGCCAGTGAAATGATGTTGGCATATTAGTAAGTATCGGCCTCAATGATTGTTGAGACAATACAGATGCTCAGATAAAGTGCCAGGTTCATACAGAATTACTAGCAGTGGAATCCAGGAAGCGTGTTTTGTCCTGTTTCGTAATTGTCAACTGGATGTACTTGCATCTCAGAATGCCAGGTTCATATTTTATGTAACTTACTAACCAAATGGTTCAAAGCTACAATCTCATGATATGTCAAGAACTAAGCAAGTTAAAATAAGATTAAAATTGGGAGGAACTAACCAAATATCTTGTGATTTACTTATTAAATCAATAGACCATTAAGTTTAAAACCTGTGAGATACTGCAATGAAAACAACATTTGGGTGGCCAATCTAAAAACGGAATCGAAAAAATGACAAGTATGCAGCAGCATTTTTAGCCAAATCATACTAGTTATTAGGGAGGGGGAAGATTAGTTGCTGATAATGAAAAATGGTTGCCCTAGTTAGACTATTCAAGGAAAGCAAAAGAAATCATGAAGTGTTTCGGGGCCGCATTATAAACCCTAATCATCTATAAGATAGTCGAATACTCAACACAAAATTGTACCATGACTAGATGTGCTGAGAAAAGAAAGGATGGGGGAACAAACAAAGTAACTGTCCTTTTATTTAACACATCATCCAATCAAAAGACTAAAAAGACGAAGGGATAACTGACAAACCTGGGATTCGTATGTACAAATAAGCAAGGCATTACGTAAGCCTTGCTACAGATAACAAATTTGTTTCAACACCCTAAAATGGATTTTAAAAAGTATAAACTTTTACTCGATGAATATTCGTACACCTGATGAAAGGTATTTCCGTCTTAAACTTAGAATTTTTAGGAAGTTACAAAAACTGCGGGTATTCTACTGTGAAAATATGAAATAACCATGACTCATATTTTAGTAACATTTTCTTCTTGGTTTAAATAAACCAACCCTTCACAACTTCATAATTTGACAAGTATAATAAACCATGAATGGAAATTACCAAGGATATTTTGAGTTGAACGTTGATGCAACCAGATAGAGCGTTCTGAAGAGTTACGTTTGACCAAATGGTGGAGTTTTCGCAATAGACTATTCCTAAACACAAACCATATCAAAACTGTTAGTAGATTAAAATATACTTTCGTATTATAATAATAGAAAGTAGTTGGAAAATGGTGGTAAATGATGACAGTACCCAACGGCCATCATTATTAAAAAATTATTATAAATAGTATATAAGTAAAAAAATAAAACTATTCACCACAGATTGGCATTCTCCTAAAATTACTTAATAATACATTTTTTATTAGTGACATTAAATACTATTCGTTAATCTAACGGATGTTTTGATATAAGAATGGATTTTAATATAGGATATTTCAAACTAGCGAGTATTACAGCAATAGAAAAACCCCTGGAAAATAATAAAGTTTCGATAATTGTACAAATTTGAACGAAATGAAGAAACACTATTCTTTAGATAACTTTATAAATGTATGTATTTTATACATTAGGATGCAAGCATCCGTGGATTTTTGAAAAAATTTAACCCCTACAGTAACGAAAAAAACTTTACTCTAGAAGCTTCAAAGCTTTTAAGATATTTACACTCTGGTTTTATCATACTAGCTTGATTATTGCCATCAGGCTAACAAAAATGACTAAATTCACATTTCTAAGTGACTAGATAAGTTGATATACCATTATATCTTAGATGTCAATAGAAACTGTTGACTATGTACAATCCTCATCTAATCTCTGAATATCAACAAAGCACTAAGTGTATCCTTAAATTTTGACTACTATTACTGAAGAAACTGTAACACACACCCGTTGATGGCGACCATCGTTATCAATAACTCTTTGAAAAATCAATTTAAGTAAGAAACAAGTATGTTACTGACAAATCGTCATTTTTAAATAGATGCACAATGGAAATGCAATACGTACGAAAATATTCGACGAGGAAGAGATTTGACAGTCAGATTTGTGTAAGGGAGCTGTGAACAATCTCGTTGCAACTCAGTAAGATAACATAAGGAATCAAAGTCAGATTCATCTAGATTTTTGAATTCATTTTGATTGACAACTTCAGTCAAAGAACTTGGTTGAGAATACTCACAAATTACAGCATTTTCATTTTGAGATGAAACTGAAGACGAACAGTTACCGGAAATCAAATTCTGGAGCTGCTGGAACTCATTCGATGACTGGAATAAGAGACAAAAACAATGAATGAACTAAGTACATGAAATATCTGTACGTTCTCACTACTTCGAACAAAACGCATAGAAGATAAAATTTTCAAAAATGTAATATATATGCAATTAAAATTCTTCTTATGTCTCGTGGTTTCAAAACACATCAAATTTTTTACTTTGGACTGCTCACACCCATATTACAATACGTCCAATATGACAAGTCGGTCAAGTAAAATGTCGATAGTTGTAAAGATGGTGCAAGCTAACTAAATATATACACATTCAGCGGAAAACTACAACCTCGACATGGTAAAGACATTCACTTGTCATCATACCGACCGGAATACTTGTGTCATGAATCCTTACTTTGCTAAAAAGGTTTACTAAAGAGTAGAAAAACGAAGTGTGAATTGCTGTAGAGTGAATAGCTGAGCCATGACTTCCTGTCGTTTATCTGGATCTACATTGTCGATGAGTTTATTAAACAGATGTACCTTTGCAAAGGCTAATTTCATTAAAAGAATATGTTTGACTGATTTTAAATCTCTTCTAATATCCTAATTGTAAGGTCAATTTCGGACATTTAATAAAAATTTTAGTTGTCAGTCAATAGACAGATTGACAAAGATTCAATCTATCAGACCACACGAAAAAAGATTGATCAACTAAATGATCAAAGGTCAACAAAATGAGACATTCAGATTGAATACAAGGGCGAATAATGACAATGAAGCCTACTAAAATAACCAGTTCTAAAAATGGTCTTCAAGACGGACTGATTTGACGCTTACGGAATCACTGAAAAGGTCGCTTGTACATGATGTTGTCCAGAACAGCACTGAGAGCTCCACGGTCAAGCTATCCAGATCAAATAACTCAACAATATCAGAAGCATCCACTCGAGCCGCAACTCTATGTTGATGAGAGAGATTAATTTAGTATTCAACCCAACCGATATCTATCCTGTTGCAATTTTCCTTTAAGTGCTTGAACTATTTTCAAGATTCCAACAGGAGGTTAAGAAATCCCTAGGTTATTCAGTCCAAACTTTGTAGACTGACTTCATGTTTTGATTTTACGTCTCTGGTATTCTTGGAACCTCACACCAAGTTAGCCAGAGTAGGCTGTCAGTGTACAATGCCTTAGCAAGGACAAGGGATACTCAGACCACCTCAGTTGGCGAGAGTTCACAGATTAATAAGACGATTTGATATGCTTACCCGGCACGCTAAGTCGAACATCAGTACTGCTCATTTGTTATCCTCACAGTACACTACTGATGCGTAGAAGCCAAATTACCACCAAATAATAATAAACTGTCCATATCTTAAGTCTTTCAGATATGAAGACATCATGGGACGAAATGGACTGGGAGAAAGGAATGAAAATGGTGAGAGACTTGCAAACCTATGTGTCTTCAACAAACTGATCATAGGCGGCACCATAAACACATACAAAAAGCCACATGGATTTAACCGGATCACACTACACAGAACCAAATTGACCATATCTGCATCAATAAAAAGTTCAGAGGGACGATGGAGGATGTGAGAACCAAAACAGGAGCTGATATAGCCTCAGATCATCACTTGCTGGTCGCCAAGATGAAATTGAAACTCAAGAAGCACTAGAAAACGGGGTTGACAACACAAAAGCTCAATACGCTTTTCTTCGGGATACTGGCCGACTTAACGAATTCATGATAGCCCTCGTTAATAGGTTCCAGGCCTTTCATGATTTATTCAATGAAGAGGGAACTTCTATGAAGAGCAACTGGAAAGAGATAAAGAAGGCAATCACTGCAACAAGTCATGAGGTTCTAGATTATTTATTTATTTTATTTTAACACATAGATATTGGTACAAATACATATGCGTCACATAGATCTCATTTGATTTGTGTGAGGGCTGTGATACTGCCCGGGTGTCCAAACCGAAGCAGGTGGTTTTCTTAGGGGGCCACACCCGGAGCATTTGACCTAAAGGTCTGATCCACAAGGCAGTGGAAAATCATAAGGAGATGCAGTCCCATGGTAGCCGGTGACCAACGATTGGTTCATATGCCATTTGTTCCTTCAGGATACTGGAGCCCATGTGCACCATTGGTTTGGAATCAGGGTTTTGTAACTCCCCTAGGTGGACTCTCCATGTTCACCAACCCGGTTGGAGCGCCGGACATTCGCTTTTCGTCCTCTCATTTTCGTAAACGACACCCCCGCCACGAGAAGGCAGTGAGTAGGACTTGGCCATGTGAGGGCATTTCGTGAGGGAGGGCGGGCCCTAGCCACTCTCGGTCGTACCAGGGCATTTGGGGGTTCTAGAACACAAGAAGCACCATCACAAGGAATGGATCACTGTTGATACACTGGATAAGATTCAAGAAAGGAGGAACAAGGCGGAAACAATCAATATCAGCTGAACAACAGCAGAAATCCAAGGCACAAGCTGAATACACAAAAGCAAACACGTAAGAGAAGAGCACCGAAGCAGACAAACGTAAACATATGGAAGATCTAGCAATAACGGTGGAAAAGGCTGCAAGAGAAGGAAATATGAGACAACTGTATGATACAACAAAGAAACTCGCTGGAAATTATCGCAAAACAGAACGACCAGTGAAAAGCAAGGAAGGAAAAGTGATCACCAACATCGTAGAACAGAGAAGCAGGTGGGTGGAACACTTCAAAGAACTCTTAAATCGACCAGCTCCACTGAACTCACCCAACATCGAAGCATAACCCACGGACCTCCCAATCGATGTTGGCCCAACAATTGAAGAAATCAGCGTGGCCATCAGACAAATCAAGAGCTGCAAAGCAGCAGGACCAGACAACATTCCAGCAGCGGCACTAGAAGTAGACGTAGCAGTAACTCCAAAGATACTCCATATTCTCTTGAACAAGATTTGAGATAAAGAGCAAGTACCAACAGACTGAAAAGGACACCTCATCAAGATACCACAGAAAGGCGATTTCAGCAAGTGCGAGGACTACAGAGGCATCATTCTTCTCTCAATACTGGGAGAAGTCTTCAACAGGGTATTGTTAAACACTACGACTGTTGACCTTTGAAAAGTATGGCAGTGTTCTAGCATTTGGCGGAGGGTGAAGATATGATCAATACATACTTTGTTCCGGTCGAGGATGTATTGATCATATCTTCACCCTCCGCCAAATTTTAGAACACCGCCATACTTATCAAAGGCCAACAATCGTAGTGTTTCTTGATATCAAGGCTGCCTTCGATTCGTTGGACAGAACTGTTCTCTGGGATTGTCTATTGAAGAAGGGTGTGTCTGAGAAATTTATTAACATCCTAAAAGCCCTATACACAAACACCTCAGGCAGAGTGAGGGCATACAACCACCTTTCTCCGTTATTCCATTCAAGCAGTGGGGTTAGGCAGGGTTGCCCAATCTCACCATTCCTCTTCAACTTTGCCATCGATGACATTCTGGAAACAGCTCTGATGGATGTAAGTAATGGTGGTGTGGATCTGTTGCCTGGAGAAAGACTTCTCGACCTTGAGTATGCGGATGATATTGTCTTACTGTGCGAGAATGCCCAAGCCATGCAATCCGCACTTAATCAGTTGACAATCAATGTCCGTAGCAGTTTTGCTCTATGCTTGTGAAACCTGGCCTCTCCGAGCTGAGGATGTTAGACGACTCTGTGTTCGATCATCGCTGTCTCTGAAGGATTGCCAGAGAATTCCACGTCGTGCATTATTTGCCGACTCTGGGACTGGTTGGGAAAAGCGGAGAGGTGGTCAGTGTATGACATGGTGTCGTGGTATGAAAGAAAGCTGCAAAGGGCTAGCTTCTGTTGGTCCTTCACGACTCCCTGATTGGGGTCCGAGAGACGGTGTAACGCAGTGGCTAGAGACGTTATCAGATATGGCTAAGAATAGAAGCCAGTGGCGATCGTGCTGTAACCTCTTACTTTCTTCATAAAAAGTGGTTGTATCTTGCTTAACTGAAAGATTTCTTCTGATTGTACTGTTCCGTTTCCCCCATTATTGTTCTCTCTTTTTTTTTATAATTCCCTACGTCCATTACTTTTCTTTTTTTTTTCTCTTTTCTCCTTCTCTTCAAATTATCATTGTTTTGTGTGGCGCATATATATTTGGTGCCCCCTTGTACCAATATTTATGTGTTCAAATAAATAAATAAATAAAATAATGTTAAATAGAATGAAGGACTCCTTAGATGCCCAACTTCGAGACCAACAGGCTGGATTTCGTGAGGATCGATCATATACAGACCAAATCGCAACACTACGGATCGTTGTGGAACAATCAATTGAATGGAATTCATCACTCTACATCAACTTCATTGACAACGAGAAAGCATTTGATAGTGTGGACAGAACAACACTATGGAAGCTTCTTCGACACTACGGCGTGCCTCAGAAGATAGTCAATATCATACAGAATTCCTATGATGAATTAAACTGCAAAATCGTTCATGGAGAACAGTTAACAGACTCGTTCGAAGTAGCGACCGGTGTCAGGCAAGGTTGATTACTCTCACCTTTTATCTTCCTCTTGGTGACCGACTGGATTATGAAGACGTCATCATCTGAAGGGAAGCACGGGATACAGTGGACATCTAGGATGCATTGGATGGTCTAGACTTCACAGATGATCTGGCTCTTCTATTGCAAACGCAACAACAGATGCAGAAGACGACCAGTCTAGCAGCAGTGGGTCTCAACATACACAAAGGGGAAAGCAATATTCTCCGATACAACACAACATGCACCAATCAAATCACACTTGACGGAAAAGCTTTGGAAGATGTAAAAACCTTTAAATATCCGAGAGGCATATTTACAACTGAAGATTATCTGGAACTCAAAACAACTGTCAATCAACACCAAAGTCAGAATTTATAATACAAATGTCAAAACAGTTCTACTATATGGGGCGGAAACTTGGAGAATTACGAAAGCCATCGTCTAGAAGATACAAGTGTTTATTAACAGTTGCCTACGCAAAATACTTCGGATCCGTTGGCCAGACACTATCAGTAACAACCTACTGTGGGAGAGAACAAATCCGATTTCAGCGGAGGAAGACATCAGGAAGAAGAGTTGGAAGTGGATAGGACTCACATTGAAGAGAGAATCCAACTGCGTCACAAGGCAAGCCCTCACATGGAATCCTCAAGGCCAAAGGAGAAGAGAAAGACCAAAAAACATATTACGCCGAAAAATGGAGACAAACATGAGAAGAATGAACAACAATTGGACGGAACTATAAAAGAAGGCCCAGGACAAAGTGGGTTGGAAAATGCTGGTCGGCGGCCAATGCTCCGTTGGGGGTAACAAGCCTAAGTAATCTTAAGTCTTTAAAAAACCACGCGTCATAGCTGTAAGATAATGTACTCAGAATGTTATCTAGTATACCCAACCTTTGGTAACCGAATTGACACTACACTTACTCTAATAAATAGTATAATTTAGTGATAATATTCCTTACATATTAACACTATCAAACAGCACAAAAACCAAGCCCTATATATATCTTACAGATTTTCATTCGCATACATCCCTCAGAAGATAGTATCTGAAGTCATTTTTTGTGAGGAAAGGAAACACCAAAATCATAAAAGAAACCACTCAATACCGCAGCACTGTCTTAAGACAATATCTATTCTTAACCTTTTAATTACAAAAATCGATTAATTGTCCTCAATATGAGCCTAAAAGGATGACCATTTTATACATTTTAATTTAAATATCGACTGTGCAGTAAACGAATACTGCTGGACATTTTGCGGAAACAAAAATATAGTTAGGATATACAACTGATCAACTTTCATAAAAAGATTAAAAATGAATAAGCAAACTTCACTAACAATGGGTTCATCTAAATTTTCGATACTTAATAGTTGATGGCCGAACTCAAAGGTCTCTCCCTCTGGCGATGACGTCGGTGAAATATTTATGCAACCTTCATCTTCTTGAATTTTTTTATTCATTACGATCCCCGAATCGGGTGCAACACGGCTGAATGACCGTTTAGGTCGTAAACTATTTGTAGGACCGAAAGAACAGATCCAAGATGAAGAGTCATTAATTGAAACACTAAAAATTATCAGAATAGAAGCGTTACCTCTTACGAGGAACACAAATACGTTTTGGTAACCAATCTTTCTTCGTGAACATTTTTGTTTAACAGATAATGGTTAGCTGAAAGAAAATAAGGATATTTGAGAACGTGAGTGCTGCATTCGCCACCTTTAAAAATCACTGGTTTAAGAAAAAAAATACTCAGTATACGGCTTGTCTATTAGAACAATTATAATCGCAATAAATATATTTTTAGAAACACCGAATCATAAATCTGAAGAGGTTATACCTAACCTTTAGTGAGGATAAATGGTGGTGCCCACTGTATGTCATGAAAGATGGCGACTCCGTCTCAGTGGTTAGGTTTACTAAAATAATAGCTACAGTCTAGGAGCTGAAAGTAATCTCATTCGACCGGTTTTGATGGCTAATCGTTCCAGTTTCTAACAAAGGACAAACATCCCGTGATAAACATAAAGAAATCCATTTGATTAATATAGAGTCTAGAAACTAAGCCTAAAAAATTATGCTATTTAAATAAGGTTCGCGATTAGGAAACCAAGGTTAGTTTTAGATATGTCTGGTTTTGCAACATATCTATAATTACCAATATCCAATAATAGAGGCAATATCCAACCCTGTAGACCAAGAGATTTATTGGCAGTTTGTCATCATAATGTATGCTAACAAAGACTTTGAGGAAATCCCGGAACGTTTCAAAACTTTAGGAAAACATGTCAAGTTCTTACTGGAAAGATGCTCTTTTTGGTACTATTCGCAACTGAAATCTCGTCGTTTCGCAGACCTAATCCACTTAGAAAACTAGTCGTCTACCATTCACCACAAAAAAATCTACTTGTTGCGGATCTCGCTACGTAATACTACTAACAAACTTGAGTTAAAATGTCGTTTGACGATAAACAAGTAAGTAAACGATTCTTGAAAGGTAATATACGAATTTGCAATTAAAAACTGCTTATGTTATCAAAGCAGTCCTGTTTGTAAACACTTGCAACTTCGAAAACGTATCTCGTTGTTTATGATTCCCCAAAAGAATTCATCACTCAAAGTTTGCTAATATTAGGCCTTATAACACAATAACATTCAACGCCAACCCTAGCTTGATCATACAAGTTAGAGATGTGAGATTAATCAGATCTCGACCCTACACAAACCTTAGTCATTATACCACCGAGCCGTTCACTTCCATTAGTACGTTTATCTTTAAATGTTTAGTAATCAGTCATGTACATTTACACTGAAGCGTTGAGGGCTGTAGAATTGGAGGCTGGATGGATTCCAGTTGATTTTCCCAATGTTAACAACTGGACTGAGAATTTTTACTCGATATCAAAGTGTGCATTTAATACAAGCTTATAAATCAGTTCTTTCAAAACAGAAGTCCTTTCGTCACCAAGATCAACTACGTTACGAGATGTTGTAAATAAGTTAGTTACATCAACAATTATTTTTATCCCCACAGGTATCACACTTGCAACGCAAACTTCTATAAAATGTGGGAAGCCATCAATGTTCTGTCTAATCAGATTAGTAGGTTGACCACCTACATTGCACGTTCATCTATCGTTATCAAAGACAATAATATATGCAGTGTGGATTTCTTGAGCTTGGAATTTCTATTCCAGGCACTTGACTAAGTACATTGGAAGCTGCACTGCAAGAAAGAAAGTCTACTGATCAGTCCGTAGGTTTCAAATATAGTTTGTTACGATTAAGGAGATTTAAATGTCCGTGATCATCAGAAATGATCTTCGTAAGCGTATAAAGTCAATTTTTGTTTACTTTATGACGGCCGAACTAACAATTATTTATACTCCCTATGAAGCTGAAAGGAAAGTGGGTACAAGTTACTATAGATTCTACAGACCAATCAACGAATTCACAATTAGACCAAACATTATTGGTTATATGTTCATGTTAATGGTTCAAAAGTGCTTCTCGCTGTAAAAAAAGACATCAAACAAACGATGAATGTTGTGAATCAGGCTTTACTAAACAACGCGACATAAAGTATATAAGCACCCAAAGACAATCCAGCGAAAATGTGGGCGTAGTACAATAAAGTTTGTTTACCGCATATATTTATATGTAGTCATATATTTAATTCATAGGTTTGTGTTGAAATTACTAATCACTGTACATTTTCATTTCGAGGCTGGTTTCAGAAATACTGATATCACTGTAAGTCATTAATTCCAAACAAACTGCCTCGAATGACTTTTCGTACCTTATATACGTCTGATTAATTTTCGCTCTTCCCTTTAAATGGAGTGTCTTTCTAAACGCATATCATCAGATTAGTATTTATGTAGCTTTTATATGATATCATTTTTATTTATTTATTTGAACACATAAATACTGGTACAAGGAGGAACTAGAAACATATGCACCACACAGATCTCATTTGATTTGTGTGAGGGCTGTGATACTGCCCGGGTGTCCAAACCGAAGCAGGTGGTTTTCTTAGGGGGCCACACCCGGAGCATTTGACCTAAAGGTCTGATCCACAAGGCAGTGGAAAATCATAAGGAGATGCAGTCCCATGGTAGCCGGTGACCAACGATTGGTTCATATGCCATTTGTTCCTTCAGGATACTGGAGCCCATGTGCACCATTGGTTTGGAATCAGGGTTTTGTAACTCCCCTAGGTGGACTCTCCATGTTCACCAACCCGGTTGGAGCGCCGGACATTCGCTTTTCGTCCTCTCATTTTCGTAAACGACACCCCCGCCACGAGAAGGCAGTGAGTAGGACTTCCCTGGTAGAGGCTATATACGCGTGGCTATGTGAGAGTATTTCGAGAGGGAGAGCGGACTCTCGCCACTCTCGGTCGTACCAGGGCATTTGGTAGCGTATGATACCATAGAATGTCCTGAATTTTTTTCCAGAACTGTATAGACGCAAGATTGAGTAAAGGCTAGAAAATCATACACACCTGGTCCCAAATGATACGTATATATAAGGTGGACAAAAGTCAAATTTGGTAATTTTTGTTATAATATAGCGCACATTATCATTTATAATGTCGTCTAATGATGTCGATGCATAGATATAATATTAAGTGTTGCAAGTGTTTACAAACAGGACTGCTTTGATAACATAAGCAGTCTTTAATTGCAAATTCGTATATTACCTTTCAAGAATCGTTTACTTACTTGTTTATCGTCAAACGACATTTTAACTCAAGTTTGTTAGTAGTATTACGTAGCGAGATCCGCAACAAGTAGATTTTTTTGTGGTGAATGGTAGACGACTAGTTTTCTAAGTGGATTAGGTCTGCGAAACGACGAGATTTCAGTTGCGAATAGTACCAAAAAGAGCATCTTTCCAGTAAGAACTTGACATGTTTTCCCATAGTTTTGAAACTTTTTGGGGTTTTCTCAAAACACACAATAATTCCGGATACTTCTCAATATATTCGCTTGTATTTCTAAAAGGTGCAAATTGTGTACACGATATTTTTTCCACATTTTTTCTAGTTTTTCAAGGTTTTCTAATGACTCTTCCCTAGAATTTGTTCAGAATTTGAATTTTCAGATTGCCGGGTCAACCTTTTATATAGGGTGGACTGACATACAACGAAAGACTAAATGACAAGCCATGAAGTATTTCTGTTACACATGAGTCCTCAACATTTAAATGTCAAAGGCTTAGAAATTTTTCAGCACATTACGTTATTGATTAGTAGTAACTACATACTATTTTTTAATTTACATATAAGTTTACACCTCAAGATAAAGATTGGTAAGTTGTCGAAAATCCGAACATAAAAGTAAACTTCACTTGAGCCGAAATCATTGTAAGTACCGCAACTTATCGAAAACTAAACTTTGAAAGTGGATGCATTTCGAACGGTTCAAATGGTTCTGAACGGAACAGAATATGCTTTCGCTTGACTGTTTTCCCTATCTAGAAGAGATGGATCGAAAATGCAAACAGGTAAGAATTTAAATATATCAACGATAAAAGAGAAAGAAAGAATTAGTAAATTATAATATGATAGTCATTAGTCCCTAACAATATGTGAAGTTTTATCCTAAAAGCCTCCCGAGAAGTCGCCTTGCCCAGCTCAATCGGCACGAATTCTAACGTTTGACTACTCTTAAGGAGTAGAATGTATGTCTACAACACATTCTGCTGTGTTCTGTTCCAAATTTCTGGGTGTTACCCGCTCGTCGATCTGGCCGAAAATGAACTTCAACGTTATGGATGCAATGTTTGCTCGAAACACGTTTTATCGCAGTTAGCATAAGACTTCAGATCATACGGTATCAACATTTCTAGATCTTTCCAGCTTGAGATACATCTGTAGTGACCTACTTTTGTCAACAGAACACGATTGGTTCGATGAAAACAATTATTATTATAACCAATTGTACCAGTGACTGTTTTACTGTGCTCGTTTGTTTAACTGTGCTAATAACAGCCATTTTGGGCTTCCATTGTATTCCATTGCTTTTACGCGGTTTTTGGACTACGCACGTATCTTATCTTGCCGATCGCAACTGTACTCCTTTGGCACGATCTCGGTATTCTTTCGATACCACGAGATCGCCAACAAATATATACGACTACTACAATCATTTGCCTTCTGATATTTTGGCCTATCGGAATTTTATTGGTCTATTGGCAAGTAGTCTGGTAGCGGTGTTCATAGTTCAGCTCAACTCGACACCACGCTACATTTGGTGACCCAAATTTTGGAACACGCCTCAACTTCGGTCAAATCTTCTGCAACTGGTGAACCTACATCTACGACCACTTGGCAATCGCAACCAAACCTTCCAAAGAAGTCAATTTTGGTGAGTCTATCGCTTATCTATCCACGTCTGTCATATATTTCCATATTAATTTTTAATATATATATTTGACATGACGGATAACGATAAGAATAGTATTAATATAATAGACTCCGATGTACGCGTACCGAATCCTCGGCACTTTTTATTCGCGTGACGATAAATTCCACGCCTTATTCGAGAAATTCCCCAGATTAACTAAACCACTCGAGGAGATTTCATCGGTGACCAATCGTGTGGTACATCACATAGTCACCCGCGGACCACCAGTCACGGCAAGACCACGCCGACTGGCACCGGACAAATTAGCTTTCGCTAAACGTGAGTTTGACAATTTACTATCTGCTGGTATTATTCGTCCTTCTCACAGTCCTTGGGCCTCTCCTTTACACATGGTGCGCTAGAAGGATGGGGTTAGTTGGAGACCTTGCGGCGACTACCGAGCATTAAACGTAGTTACGCGCTTTGATAGCTACCCCATCCCCCACATACACGACATCACGGCATCGCTCAAGGGCACGACTATCTTTTCTAAAATCGATCTGGTACGAGCATATCACCAGATCCCATGTCGCTCTTGAAGACATCGAGAAAACTGCTATCACGACTCCTTTCGGTCTGTTTGAGTTCCTACGAATGCCATTTGGATTACGGAATGCTGCTCAAACTTTCCAAAGGTTTATCGATAGCATAGTACGAGACTTGGATTTTGTTCACTTCTATATTGATGACCTGCTGATCGCATCATCAAACGTAGATGAACATTATCAACACCTTACACTATTATTCCAACGTCTTTCGGATAATGGAATAGTAGTCAACCCAGAGAAATGTGAGTTGGGTAAATCGGAAATAATATTTCTGGGTCACATCATCAGACAAGAGGGTATTCTGCCTTGCGAGGACAAAGTTCGAGCAATCAAGGAGTACAACGTGCCGTCCTCAATCAAGGAACTGAAGGCTTTTCTCGGTTTGGTTAACTTCTACCGACGTTTCATCCCTCACGCGGCAGAACGGTTACGACCATTAACCGATTTACTACGCGGTAGTCCACGCAAATTAGAATTGAACGATACCGCACGTACTGCATTCTCAGAGATCAAAACGGCTCTCGCTGAAGTTACACTTCTCGCTCATCCTGACCCATCAGCCACGCTTAGTATAGCGGTTGATGCATCGGATTTTGCCATAGGAGCCGTTATGCAACAGAATATCTCCGGTAGTTGGCAACCCCTTGAATTTTTCTCACGACGCCTTACTCCCACGGAGACGAGATATAGCGCTTTTGGTCGCGAACTGCTTGCAGCCTACTGCGCCATCAAACATTTCCGGCACGCAGTAGAAGGACGTCAATTCATCTTATTCACCGACCATAAGCCCTTAACGTATGCCCTGCATACCAAGTCTGACCGCTACTCACCACGAGAGTGCAGACATTTGGACTATATCTCACAGTTCACGACAGACCTTCGTCACATTAGAGGCGAGTCGAACTATGTTGCCGATGCTCTTTCACGTATCCAGACGAATGCAGTTACCTTGCCGGTGCTCGATCTTCCTGCTATGGCCGCCGCGCAAGCAAACGATCCTGTCTGTACAGAAGCACCACAATCTTCGTCCCTTCAGTGTCAGGAAGTACCCCTGGCTACTAGCTCAGGTACTATCCTATGTGATATTTCTACCGGTCTACCTCGACCCATCGTACCCTCTACCTATCGCCGTCTCGTCTTCGATGCCCTTCATGGATTGTCTCATCCAGGTATCGCAGCCACATTACGTCTCATCGCTGCACGATACGTCTGGCCGTCCATGAATAAAGATGTTCGTATGTGGGTAAAGCAATGCCTACAGTGTCAACGATCAAAAGTGCACAGGCACGTAGCTGCCCCCATTGGCACGTTCGCTACGCCTGATGCTCGCTTTGATCACGTTCATATAGACATTGTAGGACCATTGCCACCATCGCATGGGTATGATCACATACTCACGTGCATTGACCGTTTTACAAGATGGCCCGAAGCTATTCCCATCACGTCTATCACGGCGGAGACAGTTGCTCACCGCTTCGTAGAACGATGGATAGCATTGTACGGTTGTCCCTCGACCGTCACGACTGACCGAGGACAACAATTTGAGTCCGCATTATTCTCCTCACTGACCCGGCTGCTTGGTACGGAACGCATACGCACTACCGCCTACCATCCAGCATCGAATGGTTTAGTCGAAAGGTTTCACCGCCAACTTAAAAGTGCTCTTCGAGCACACGAAAACGACAATTGGTACGAAACCTTACCGCTCGTTCTCTTAGGCATCAGAACGAGTTTGAAGGCAGATATCCAATGTTCCGCCGCTGAACTTGTATACGGCACGACATTGCGTCTGCCTGGGGAATTCTTCACACCACGGAGCAGTAATGATTTCGGTAAATCAGACTACGTCCATCGACTGTCTGCATTTATGCGAACGCTGTCTCCGGTGTCAACTCGAATACAACATCGACAGGTCGCTCTCCCTCGAGAGTTATCTACCTGTTCACATGTTTTCATACGAGTAGATTCGGTACACAAACCTCTACAACAGCCTTACGAAGGCCCTTTTCACGTGATCTCTCGTCACGAAAAGACCTTCAAGGTTGATCGACACGGCCGCGTCGAGATCGTCAGCATTGATCGTCTCAAACCAGCACACGTCAATGACAGTGCCCTACCCGATAACTTGAGACTCAATGCTAGACCTACCAAACCTTCTAGCGGGATCTCTACATCTACCTCGGATCCCACGCTAGATACATCAGAGACCTCGTTCTCACGTCCCGGTCAACAGCACGCGTCATCTGCACCATCTACGGACGAGACTTCCGTCTCACGTCCAGATCGGCAGACCACGCCGCCCTTGACCTCGGATGAGATCGCAGGCTCACGAAGTACGAACGAGACCACCGTCTCACGTTCCGGTCGCCGGGTACGATTACCCGTACGCTTTCGCGACTAAACGCACAGTCAATAACATACGGTGTAGGATTATTCCTATACTACACGCATGCTACACTTTTCTTTTTTTGATTTTTTTTTGTATCCTGAGCCCACGCCTCCGACCATCGTCCATTTGATAACGTCGACTTCAGTCAACTTTGGCGAAAGCTGGTTTGGCCACCCACGCTCTAGTCAACGCACTCAGTCGATTATCTGGTCTCGAATTCGCCTGGCATACGCTTGGTCTTTATGGTCGCTTCCGGTTTCTTGGCTCAACGTGGTTTCGTCCTACGTCTGCAGCGTTTTCTGGTCCACATCCCTACGAACGCAATCTTCAGATTCTGGATACAAACCACTCTGGTGTGGTATGCTAATTCGACCAACAAATTCAGCACACTTCTGGTACCGTTCTGCGCAAAAGACTTTCGTTGGCAACTCGAGGATCAATGATCACTTCCTGTTCCGCCAATTTCCTCCGTCCTACAACCGCAATTCTGCCGATCAGTCCCACGAATCAAACCGCTAACTATCGAAAGTGTAAACCCTTTCTAGCGGGGGGCTCCTGTAGTGACCTACTTTTGTCAACAGAACACGATTGGTTCGATGAAAACAATTATTATTATAACCAATTGTACCAGTGACTGTTTTACTGTGCTCGTTTGTTTAACTGTGCTAATAACAGCCATTTTGGGCTTCCATTGTATTCCATTGCTTTTACGCGGTTTTTGGACTACGCACGTATCTTATCTTGCCGATCGCAACTGTACTCCTTTGGCACGATCTCGGTATTCTTTCGATACCACGAGATCGCCAACAAATATATACGACTACTACAATCATTTGCCTTCTGATATTTTGGCCTATCGGAATTTTATTGGTCTATTGGCAAGTAGTCTGGTAGCGGTGTTCATAGTTCAGCTCAACTCGACACCACGCTACACATCTAGAGGGAGTTGTATTCGTAGTCTTTAACGTGTCTCAGATAAAATACACTACACTTTGAAGAGTTTGAGGTAAGTCCGTTGATGTCTGCTGAACTCTGAATTCAATTCAGATCCTCCTGAAGTGTCAGCTTATCATCTTTGATGCAACTATGTCTCCGGAGTTTTACACTGTTGGCAAAGGTCACAAATCCGACGCGACTTATTGAGGTAGGTCACGTTGACCGTTTTCCAAAAAACTGATCTAGTTAAAGAGTATAACAAAATTCCCATGGCTGCAGACGACACTTCAAAGTCGACTATCATCACGCTCTTCAGATTCCACGAATTTTGTGCAAGACTTTCGGTTTAGGAAATGCTGCACAAACTTTTCAGATATCCATCCATGACGTGTTCAAAGGTTTTTCGTTCACGCATGTGTAGATGGTTGTTTCATAGCATGTTCAAACAGAGAATCTAATATCCTGTATCTGGACGTTGTACTCGGAAGACTGCAGAAACATAGCATCACTGTAGACATTCAGAATTCACATATTGTTACCGACTCCCTAGATTTTCTTAGACATATTGTTAATACCCAAGACATTCAAACGCTGAAAAACAAAGCGTCGGCTATTCTGGACTACTCAGAACACACTGCATTCAAGCAATTACACAAATTCAACATTCTGGCCCCTTTTATCGATAGTTTTTACCAAATTGCGCGTCTCTCATGATACCCCTAACCGACCAACTTCGTGGAAATGCGAAAATCGTCAATTTAGACGATATTACGTAAAAAGCATTCTTCACAGTTAAGAAACTTATCGCCAAAGCAACATTGCTCGCACAATAGGACACCAGAGAAATTATTTGTATCTTAGTAGATACATCCGACTCGACAATTGCAGTAGTCTGACAACAGTGGGTAGATAGTAGCTGACAACTTTTGACATTCATCTCGAGACGATCTCATGACACTGAGCATTTCCGGTAGGCGATTCCTAGAGATGTATTGTGGTTGACGGCACTTTTAACGCTCTGTGGAATGCCGAAATTTACTATGTTCACCGACCACAAACTTCTCACCCTTCAATCTCGTCTCCAGACAAGATTCTCAACAACTAGACTACATTTCGCAGTTTACTTCAGATATACAACACTTTTCTTGACCAGACAACGTTGTTGAGTACGTCTTGTCCACGATAATTTTCTTGAACATTTTCAAGGAATCGGCCTCCTTACACTCTCCCCGTCTTATAAAGAAGACAGTGATCTGAAGCCCCAGTTCTCTTTGACAACCCCGAAACTACGTATTAAACAGATGGGAAAAGGTAAGAAAACTTTGCTTTGCAGTACATCAACCCTGTCGAAACATTGTCAAAGCAACGTCTTCGAAACATCGTGTAAACGTTCTGATTCAGGTATTCGAGCAACCAACAAGCTTATCGTAGGACGATTGTGTTGACCTGATATGAATAAAGACGTAAGGGAGCCTCCAGTAATGTTAGGTGATTAGACACAACAAATGTTCCTTTTGCACTTTCAAAATGCTAGACGCTCATTTCGTCGATGTTCATCAGATTCAAATGAACACTCTTACCTCTTAACTTGTGTAGACTGTTACACGATGGTTAGAGGTAGTGCTTATCAAGGAGATTACTGTCGAAACAGTGGCCCGTGCCTTATTTGAACTATGAGTAATAAATTTTCGCGACCGCTCAACTATCACTACAGGCCATGGATACCGGAATGAATCTCGGCTGTCTGTTATCTTACTACACACGACTGCCACCCACAAACAAACGGATCGGCGGAACGATTTCATCTACAGGTGAAAGCTTTTCTCTCAGGCGCGACGATTCAAAGTAACTGACGCTCCACTGTTTCAGTTACTCGGTATTCGAAATGCAATGTAGGCCGATATTGGATAATCTGAAGCATAAATCGTTTATGCAAGGACTTTCGGACTTCCAAGAGAATTGGTGGATTATTTGTTTTCTTGAATGAAAATGAGTCTAAACATTGGCATTAACCGTCTTAGAACCGCGTTTTTAGAGATACGCTAAGATGTTGGTCTTTCCTTGGTATACTTAAGTGACAAAATTACCATACTCCACCCGATAACCGACAATCATAAAAAATATTCGCCAGCCTGAAACAACGCGCACTGGGATCAAGATGAGGTTTCCAGTACATTAAGATGATTACTAAGCATAGGGTACAATATGACATGTTGTTTTGTCTCAATTTTTTACGTGTTAATGTGTCAGAAAACCAAAAGCAAATAATATTTTTTTAATATGCTTACATATATACGTGAATATATGTTTATTTTCATTTTTTCAAAGTGCTAATTGTGTAAAGTTTATTTTTATACTACTTGTTGTTAACAAATCGAATATATACAAGTTTATTTACCTTTTTCGCCCTTCGAAGTCACACTTCGTGGCCGGTACCTTACAAGGACTACCTCATTGACGTATCAAGGTGTTAAAGATTCCTTGAAGACTGTACAACAGAGAGGACGTTATCACAGAAATATATCAGTTTAAGTAAATACAGGCGGAAGTAGGACCACTATCGCATGGGCAAGTCTACGGCATACAATTAACTGATATGCGTTGGTTGTCCTTGACCTTGGCGAGGATTGATAATTTGTTTGATTTTCAGGGACCCAACTGCCGGATATTAGGTTTTGGATTTTGGCGCGAAATTTAATTATTCATTTGGTTAATTAGAGTTTTGACATTGTAGCTGATGCCAGTTCTTGATGAAAATCTTAACCATCAAGAGTAAATCATAATTCAAATACCAAACACTGGTTTATAACCCTCATTCGGACACTCTCAGGGTCACTCTAGAGACATTTAAAGGTCGTCCATAAATTGTAGTCTCACCAAATCTTGTTACAAAGCTAATTATTAAGAGAGTATCAATGAGACAATTCTCCTTCGTCGTAGCTGCGATCTATTATAGACGGATTCATACACTGCATACAGTTGCCAATTATATGTGCAGGCAGTGCAGTTTTCATGAGAAGAAGAAGAAGAAGGAACATTAGGTTATCTTTGAAATCTAGTTGGCTAATGAAACTAGATCATAAATTTCACCATGTTGACATTAGTCCAAATAATTTGCACTTAGTTTGAAAGACTAGATAATGGAAGATATCTTTGAATTCCCACATCAGAAGTTCATTAGAAGACAACTGCTTATGTTTTTAACACTTATGTAGCTAAGTTTTTTTCTTAATCCGATGTGACAGTGGTCGTCTAATCATCGTCAGTTTTCTAGACATCCACTTTCAGAAGCAATCGTTTGAGGATTTCGTGTGGCTCATAACTTCTTCCCCATGGAATGACTTGAGTGACGTAACTATTTAACTAGTGAATAAAATACTGGGACTCGTTGTTTCAATATCGAGTAACCGTTGAGCGGCCAAATGGATTTGTGCGGTGCGTCAAGGCTATTTAAGGTTCATGCCTTGGTAGTTATTGAGAGGTGAGATTAGGATGCGACTTCTTTTTCAGCAAAAGATTTCATCAAACATACCGTTAGTCTTAATCATAGTATTATTTCAGCACAGTATATCACACTGATAACGGCGGGATAATAGTTCTGATCAGTAGAACTGTTAGCTGGTGGTAAAATTCATCCTTAATCACATCCGAGTTGCAATCTGTTAGATAATAAGTGGAAATGATGAAAAGGCATCGTTTCTCACGCTGATTTATTCTCAGTTTGATTGAACTTTCTAATCTAACAGCACATACCCGACTGTTAATGGGGATCCAATCGATTAGTACTGCCTCAGCTCTAGCGCTTAATGCGACACCAACGCCAGCAATTTCAGACGAAGATGCCACAGTCCCCGGATAAACGTACGTAAAGCAAGCTTTTTGAAGCGACAGATGGAGAGCGAGTTTGTAGTACTTCACCAGAGTCTTGAATACGGATCTCGGATAGACGACAAACTTCAATATTAAGACTTTCCAAAGACACAGGTAGCCCTATCTGTTGTCCGATCTGTATAAGTGTGCGAACGTTGAAGACAGCCAGTTTGAATGGTGCACGCGGTTTCAGAAAGACTGCTTCAGTATTCGTATTCGGTGGTGGCATACACTTTTCAACCAGGCAGTGACTCGAGGGCGTTTAGATAGAGCAAAGTTTCCACCATGGACGTGTAAAAGTATTTAAAGAGGAAGAGTGAACTCTTTACTCTCGGCCGTAGCAGGGCGTTTAGGGGCTTGAAAGACATCTAAACGAGATTATTTAATTTTTTTGTCGACAAGTGTTCATCGATAAAAGAGGGTCAACTACATTTAGAATTCGATGAACTCTTTGGTTAGACCTCATGGAAATTAAGATTATAAAACAACAAAGCTATAAAAAGAATTACAAAGAGTACAGTCCAGACAGGAACACATAATACAATTTTTCAAAATAAATCCGTAATGTTTGTTTGGAGTTGTAAGAAAATCTACCGACTAGTTGATTATGTGTAGACTAAAGTATGTTCTGAGGTAAATTAATGACAACCAACGAGGAGCTCCGTATTATAATTAGTTTATTTGTGTTTTATGAATTGATCGCGTGTCGTTTGGATGATGGTCTGATCGTAGAGAATGGTATTCATTTATTATTAAACTATGAAAAAATATATTTAGCCATATTTTTAGCATATTTCACACCTTTCAAAATTTTTTGTCGGGTCTATTGGGAGCCCTTGTCAAAATCTGGCATGATGCATTTACCAGCAAATGTTATTGAATGATGATTACACGATATCGCGAATCGTTTGAAGTTAGACATACTGGCTATTGGATTTCTGCTCAGTGATCTAAAGCTTAGACGTTCGCCTCAATACCTGAGGCTTCAGTGCACAGTGCCAAGTCCCTACGCTAATAAAAAGCAGCTGTCCGGTGCTTCCTGGTTTTCCGTGGTTGTTTCTAGGGTATATGAATTATTCATTAAAAATATACTTAGCTTTAGATATTTATTAATAATTTATCTTTCGCATTTATGAGTATTATATACAGCAACTTTTTGATCATTTATTTCACCAGGATTCTGCTAAATCGTCGATTGTTCGTGTTATTTTCATTATTCAGTAGTTTATCACTTCTGATTTTTATCTTTTATGCTAATAAATGGTTTCTAAATTATCATTATGCAAATTGTTTTATGTCGGCAAAACAGTTCTCGAAAACAGATAATTATTCATTTATCAATAACAACAATGCTCATAGTACGGACAGTAATACCAAGCCATATCCTGTTGTTGTCTACAACAGAATCCCTAAAACAGGTAGCACATCTTTAATAAACTTAGTCTATCAATTAATTGAAGAAAATTACAGTCATGCACATGTGATACACTTAAACATTTCTTCAAATAAACATTATTTAAATCGTCTAAATGAATTATATCTTATAGATAATTTGACACATTGGACCAGCATGCATCCACTGATTATACATGGGCATTTCGCTTATATAAATTTTATCAAATATGGATCATTGTTTAACCCAGTATATATTAATATGATAAGAAATCCACTAGACAGATTAGTGTCTTATTATTACTTTCTACGATACGGCGATGATTATAGGCCATATCTGATACGTAAACGTATGTTTGATCTTATGACTCGCAACCAAACATTTGATGAATGTGTTCTTGTAAATGGTAGTGATTGTAGTCCACAACTTCTCTGGGTCCAAGTAAGCAAACAAATTTTATTTATAAACGTGAAAAACTGTATTTAAAACCATTTCAGTGATTAATTATAACCCTGAAGAGGAGGCTCAAACCAGTTTGCTGGGCAAAATTTTGGAATTAATCAAGTTTCAATCGTTGAAATTGTTTCAAATATAATGTATACATTTGATGTCATTTATATACTCGGCGCTCAGCTTGTCAAACTATTTGTTCGAAAGTGTGTCCTTTCACCCCCCAGCGTCTTCTGATGGCAGTTAGTTGATTATCTCTGACCAGTGGATCTTGAGTATTGTGTATAGACAGCTGTTCACAAGCACCAGTAGATTTTTGGTGCTGGTTGTGGTTGTCATTCTCTTTTCAGCTCCGTACAGTAGGACTATCTTAACATTGGTATTGACAATACTGACTCTGCCCTTGTTCTTTAGTTTCACATATTTCGATAGTATAATAAAAAGACGAAAATGATCAAAAGTATGTGATATATTAGCGCAACACATTTCGAACAAGGCAGTGTTTAGATGTTTTTTTCTGGTTGGCGTTTTTTTTGCAAGGTGGCGTTGGTAAACCTACAGTCACCATTTCTCCTTTGCCGGGAATTGGGAATAACCATGAAAGGTTACACGCAGAGCTGATAGACTATTTTATTTACTTGAACACATAAATACTGGTACATAAAGGCACCATGTTTATATGCGCCAAACAAAACAATAAGAATTTGAAGAGAAAAAAAGGAAAGGAGCGTAAAAAAAGAACATTGACGAACAGATTAGTGTAAGGTAATGTAATAATAATAATAATGAGGGAAACGGAAAGGTACAATCAGAAGAAATCTTTCAGTTAAGGAAGAAGCAACCACTGTTTACGAAGAAATTAAAAGAAGGCTACAGCAGGATCGCCACTGGCTTCTATTCTGAGCCATATCTGATAACGTCTCTAGCCACTGTGTTGCACCGTCTCTCGGACCCCAACCAGGGAATCGGGAAAGGCCAACAGAAGCCAGCCCTTTGCAGCTGTCTTTCATACCACGACACCATGTTATACACTGACCACCTCTCCGCTTTTCCCAACCAGTCCCAGCGTCGGTAAATAATGCACGACGTGGAATTCTCTGGGACGACATTCGTAGAACATGTACAAGCCACCGAAGTCGGTGTTTCAAGATGGTGACACCGATTGCATTATCGTCTCTGTGCCCGAACACACGATGCCGAACCTCTGCATTACTAACATGGTGTTGCCACTGGATGCCAGCAATCCTTCAGAGACAGTGATGATCGAACACAGAGTCGTCTAACATCCTCAGCTCGGAGAGGCCAGGTTTCACAAGCATAGAGCAAAACTGCTACGGACATTGTCCAACGAATCGAAGGCAGCCCTGATATCAAGAAACACTACGATTGTTGGCCTTTGATAAGTATGGCGGTGTTCTAACACTTGGCGGAGGGTGAAGATATGATCAATACATCCTCGACCAGAACGAAACCCAGCCTGCTCCTCGCGAGTCAATCCTTCTCGGGTTCTGAACAACCTACGAAGTATGACGGAAGCCAATAGCTTGGATGAAATCGGAAGTAGACTTATCCCCCGAAAGTTGTTACAGGAACAACGTGAACCCTTTTTAAAGATAGGGACGACTATCGACCCATTCCATGACGTTGGTACACACTCTAGTTCCCAGATCTTTGTAAACAAAGTCGTCAGTCCCTTAGTCAGAAAGTCACCACCATCTTTAAAAAGAGCCGGAGGTAAGTCGTCTGGGCCCGGTGATTTGTAACGTTTCAAGAGTTGGAGTTCCTTGCGGACTTCCGCCTCATTTGGTGGATCAGTCGTCACCGACCATGGAGGGCAGGACAGTCTGACCGATGTTGCCGGAGCAGCAGGCCAGTTGAACTGCCTTTCAAAGAATTCTGCCCATCGTCCAAGACGTCGATGGATGTTAGTGATTGGCGTTCCGTCATCCTCGCAGATTGTTTCGCTCACACCAAACTTCTTGCTGCCAGTGGCTCGAATGAGTTGGAAGAGCTTCCGGTAATTACCAGATGCAGTTGCTGCTTCCAACTCACTGGCACGCTCCGACCACCAGGCTTCTCGGTCCTTACGCAAGCTTTGCCCGATTTCATTACGTAACATCCTTCGTCTGTGGTCAAACTCACGGTCACCCGGAGTAGACCGACGGGCTTCAATAAGTTGTAAGGAACCAGAAGAAACCCAGTGCTTGTAAGCGGGACGTTTCGCAAACCCACAACTGACTTGACCCGCCATTTTCATGGCGTCATGCAATTGCAACCAATGCTCATCTATACTTTTCGGTGGAATGGTAGCTATCCTAGAAGCTAGCTCGGTTTGATACTTACTAGTAACAGAAGCTGCAACCAGCTTGCTAACATCAATCCTTTGGTGGCGGTCACTTCGTTATGGTTTGTGCACAGTCGCAGTAGACGGTTCCCATTATCTGTCCTGAGACCAACAAGTACCCATCGGCCATTTTAACGACTCTCTTCTATGCCTAAACGCCCGACCTGAGCATTCAAGTCAACGGCTAGTACTACAATATCTATCGAACGCACTTTCTGGAGAAGAACAGTTAACTGGTGGTAGAATTCATCCTTGATTGCGTCCGGGCTGTAATCTGTCGGGGTATAGGCGGAGATGACGAAAAGACATCGTTTCTCACGCCGATCTAACAGCACATACCCGACTGTTATTGGGGATCCAATCGATTAGTACTGCCTCAGCTCTAGCGCTTAATGCGACACCAACGCCAGCAATTTCAGACGAAGATGCCACAGTCCCCGGATAAACGTACGTAAAGCAAGCTTTTTGAAGCGACAGATGGAGAGCGAGTTTGTAGTACTTCACCAGAGTCTTGAATACGGATCTCGGATAGACGACAAACTTCAATATTAAGACTTTCCAAAGACACAGGTAGCCCTATCTGTTGTCCGATCTGTATAAGTGTGCGAACGTTGAAGACAGCCAGTTTGAATGGTGCACGCGGTTTCAGAAAGACTGCTTCAGTATTCGTATTCGGTGGTGGCATACACTTTTCAACCAGGCAGTGACTCGAGGGCGTTTAGATAGAGCCAAAATTCCGCCATAGACAAGTCGGAAAATAAGGATACATGAAGTTAGAATAAAAGAGAGCGAATAAATGACGTGGTAAATAATAATAAGAACAATAATAGTGATAATAATGTGAATCGTCAGATTGTTAATTGAAGCAAGAAGTGTCTTCCGTAAATATAATCATTTCATCGCATTTGTGAGCGGGCTATGATACTACCCGGGTGCCCAGACCGAAGCAGGTGGTTTTCTTAAGGGGCCACACCCCGAGCCTCCAAGCTAAAGGTCTGATCCATAAGGCAGTGGAGCAGCGTGAGGAGATGCAGTCCCATGGAAGCCGTTGATCAAAGATTGGTTCATACGCCATTTGTTCCTTCACGGTACTGGCGCCCATGTCCAGCATTGGTTTGGGATCCGGCTAAAGCGTCGGACATTTTCTTTTCGTAAACGACACCCTCGCCACGAGAAGGCAGTGAGTAGGACTTCCCTGGCAGAGGCTATATGTGCGTGGCTATGTGAGAGCATTTCGAGAGGGAGAGCGGACTCTCGGTCGTACAAGGGCATTTGGGGGCAATTTGGAGATCGATTATTGGCATTCTATAGAACGCTGATATCTACTATTTTGATTTCCATTGATTCATTATATAATGGTTGTAACTATTGTATCCAAATCCATGACTGGATAGTACTGATGTAGTATAAGTTTTACTGGTTAGTCGGTCCTAATATAAATCACCTCTACATTGTTCTCCTCATTTGACACTTCAGTGCGCAGTTGATTGGTCACTGAGTAATAACCAATGTCATTTTTGTCTAGTCCTTCGTATTAAGTGTAATACCTACTCTCTGCAAAATACCATTCTTGACTGTGATTTGCAGTAGATTCTCAGACCAAACAGCCGTTCAATTTATAAATATGTATTACTAAAGTCAATCTGGGTTACACATATTAAAATATATTTACAGGAAACTTATTTGTATGCTATCTAAATTAACAAGAATTCGCTTCAAAGCATATCTTTTAGTAAATCATCATGGAGCATTGTTTTGTGTGTATACTTCAATTAATCCTGTGCTGCACTAAAAGTTAAACGAATAGTATATATCTTTCACTAGAACGTTTGCTATTCTGTAACATGACTATAATTTATGTTAAGTAGCTCACAACTCATCAGTTTAGTTGATCCTGGACCTGTAAATAGAAAAAATATTCAGATATTCACTGAATAGGATGAAAGCTAGCACTATACGTCAAAGATGTAGATAGTGAGACATATATTAGGTCATGTGTAGTCTTAACTTTAGTAAACAAATGCTTAAATGAAGTTACTAGTAGACAAACGTATATTATCCAAAATTTTAACTTTCTATCGATTCACTGTATTTATGAATTTTTAAGGTACCGTTTTTCTGCGGACAAGCAGCGTATTGCAGAATTCCTGGTAATCCAGTTGCTGTAGAAACTGCTAAACGTCGTGTGATTGAAAATTATCTTACTGTTGGCCTGACAGAAGAATTCGATAAATTTGTCGACTTGCTAGAAATACTCTTACCATCATTCTTTACCGGTGCTCATAATCTAATATCTCGTTCAAAGGATAAGTGGCATCTAAGACGCACAAATTATAAATTGCCAATTAGTAAAGCAACAACTAAAATATATCAAAACAATCCGATTTGGCAAGCTGAACAAGAGTTTTACAACTTTGTTCGTACGGAATTTCATACAATACTCAATTCTCTCCAAGGACAGTCTTCACACCAACCACTTTCAAAATTTTCTGCATTGTATAAAGAAAAAATTAGTTTTGATAAAATTCGCCCGAAATTTGGCGCTTAACTTCAAATACCTTTTTTTGCTCTAATATATACAATCCTTTTATCATGATAGACATTTCAGAAAATTATTTATTTGTACCATGTTTTATACTTTATTTTATTAACCGCTTTTATTCACATTGAGTTGCATTTACTTTAATTGAAATTACCCTGTACAATTCAACGTTCTTTACTCTGGGTTTTTTTCATGGAAATTTAGTAAATTTGATCAATTTCACAGATCAAGTTATTTGTTACTTTTTTTCAGTTATATCAATCTTATGCATTTAATAGAAATTTTTGCTGACCTTTAAATGAATACTTATTAGTTCTGTTATAAAAACAATAATGGGAAGGTAAAACTGTACACTTTAGCTGCTTAAATATTTGTGGATTGATGATAATGTAGACTACATATGCCTAATATTGTTTGTTACTGAATAGAAATATTATGTACAAGAAAATCGTAGTATGTTGTAGAAGTCCATGATGTCCAGTTAATATAGTAAGTAAACTTTTGACAGCGAATTTAAAGTCGGTGTACTTAATTTCTAATACAGTTATGATTTTAAAAAATAACTCAGAAATTTATATATACTGCCTTCGAAACATTGTTGAAATAAAATGGGACGGGTGAGTGAATAGTTTTGGTTAGGTTATAAATCACTAAATCGATTGATGTAGTTTAGGGCGTCTGTCGACTAAAAGGTCAGAGATATCCAAGGTGAGATATGACGTAGCGACAATTCATGAAGCCATTGATTCCTAATCTAAGCCGTGTAGCGATACCCAAATATTTTGGTCACAGTCATGAAGATAATCATACTGTGGTTGGAAATAAAATGAAATGGTTCGAAATCAACTGAATTGTGGTGTGGATGTGCTTAACTTGAGTTTAGTATGATTACGTACTTTTCATCCCCAATCTCGTTCGTTCTTCATGAACCATACTCCTTGATTTTAGTTTAGCATTACCAGTATGATCATTAACCTCACCGGATTTGACTTTGTGTCTTGAGCTTATTGGTTTGATGGTCCTGGTTGTATCACCATGAGCCGATTCACATTTGTGCTTTTTATGGATCACAATTGTAAGAATGGATTTCCGTTTGTCCTAATCAATGAGTATAATACTGACTCATCGATGACGTGCAATTACACGTGTGGCCATGTGAAGAGTGCACTAGACCGTATTTTTGACGCAAACTTCCAAATGATTTGGAATCAAAGACGAAAATACAGATAAGAATGTTATGGGTGATCAGAGGAAATTAGTTTGTATGTCACTCATTCTCCGATCGATTAAGACCTAATTCATGCTCCCCCATATAAGTATGCATTATTTACAAGCAACTAGGATGAACAAAGAATAATTTTTAAATTCAGTTTTAAACAAAGCAAATCTACTTATAGATGACCTAACTAATTTTAGACATAAAGTCACCTGATAAATACAAATTAAATTTATCTATTTAAAAAACTTTACACAATATGTGTCATATTATTGAATCTATTAAATAAAATCGTAAGAAAACTCTGAACCAAGTAGTCTTGGACTATTTTAATAATTTAATTCCTGAAAGCATTTTAGTTCAGACATTGAGTACTATGAACATGTTTTCATGTTCCACATTACTAACTACATGGATGATCGTTCAAACTGTCTTATTTCTTGACATTGATATTTTGTTGACAGTACTTTCGATATGAAGTGTACAGATGACATAGTACCAATAAATAAAAATTTCGTTTCTTCACAGTTCTCGAAACCCAGCAAGTGGTATTATGACAAACTTTTCAGTGGGTTTCTGCATACGTACATGAAAACAATGAGAAATACAGTCGAAATCATATTATTTCAGCTGATATTTTGATAATGGTAATTTAGTTTGTTATTCTGATAACACAATCTGGTATGTAATACAGCTTATTCCTTGTTGTAACAGACCTATCCATCCTTACTGTTTTTCGTTCAACTGCTTTTAAAGACTGACTCATTAAGAGAGGTTTCAACAACACTTTAGATATCCTCTTCAGTAGGGGTTTACTACAAGTATTACTCTGACCGGATTTCAAAATATTTACCACCATAAAATGCCAGAAAGATAAAAAACAATGAGGAACTATACAATGGAATATTGATCTACCGTATCATCCAAGTTTACTACAATTTGACAAATAGTATAACCAATTCCTGAATACAATAACAGCAACACCACCACCATCAACAACAACGGTGTGAGAAAGTTGAAAAAAAGAAAAATCAGTTAAATTCACGATCTACAATACTGACAATAAGAAAATTGTATTCTATGTACTGATCTGAAGTGTATTTTTAATTGAATAGAAAACAATTATCTATATGTAAGTAATGGTAGGAATCTTCATTAAAAAAACTGAATGGAATGAGTTAACTAAATTAGTCGGTCGAACAAATAACAATTATTATCATTACTGTTTGAAGGTGAAGGATAAACAAAAATGAGACAATTCATAATAGCAATGTTATAATATATAAATATTAAAATTTAAATGTATATATTTGATGGAGTTACTTATTTGATGATCTTGACGAAATTAAAAAAGATAAACCAACATTTTTTTGCTTACTAAATTTATTGTATTGTTAATTCTACTACGACATATTGATCATAAAGAAAAATAAAACAACAAAAAAATAAATAGAAAAAAATGTTGCAAGGGAAAAATCGAGCAAAGAAAGAATAGTGATTTATGTGGTACTAGGAGGATCTTCGTTATTTTCATTTACTGTTCTGATTGAGCTTGATGATGGTGCTGATGACGACGAGGATGATAATAATGGTGTGACGAAATTTGAGGTAACCACCGATACAGCTGAATTTAAAGCATTTGATATCTGAAACGAAATTGATGAATAAAATTCATATTAGGAGTTGTAGAAATTATCATTATGAATTTTAGATAACTGTTTTAAGATTATCGTTATTATTTTTTATCATCTCAAAGTGGCATTAATTGAAGGATCGTTCAAAATAAAAACCAAGAAAATATATTAAACATGTTTATTGTCCTACTTAACTGGAAATTCTTCAGAAGTGTTTCAAAATTAATAGATTTTTCGAATAATAAAGTGGTGTACAAAACAAATGAATTATATTTGCAAAGACTTACTTTATAACAACAGTTCATAAGAAACCAGTTAATACTGAAAAATCCTATTTATAACCAAATATGATTATTTAGTAGTTTCTGTCGTTATTGGACACAGATGTTCGTATCCTAGTATTGGTTATGGAAAACTAAACAACAGTTGAGTCAGTATAGTATTTTGTAGACTGTTCGTTGTGTGGGATAGGATGATCATGTTTGGTTGTCTGCTTAGTCAGACATGTAGACAGTCTCACAGGTGTCAGATAAGTTATATATTCCCTTACCCTTATTATTGTGACACACTCATATACATATATACTTATTATTGATTGTACATTGTTGTGGATTGTGTCGGTTTCGGGTGTAAAAATATATTACGTTCTGGTCAGGCTAATTACGTGTTCTTGATCTGAGTTGTGTTGAAGTCCTGTAGAATAGACACTGGGAGGGATCTAGTGTAGATAATCGTTTAAGCGTTATAACTTTAGACGAAGTAATACAGAGCGTTATAACAATTGGCGACGGAGCGTTATAACACTGTTGAATTTCATTCAAATCATGGATCGATTTAAATTAGACGACCATTGTAGAACTGGAAGCAGTGGACGGCCGTTTTGGCCTAGTATAGGACTCCTAAGGAATGAGTAACTACGAACCTGCACGTAGAAATCAGAACATGGTTTTTCACAAGCGAACGCATAACCTCAAGGTTGACCGATGTTCAGAACTAATACCGTTGGATGCTGAGCCAGTGGTCTAGAGGCTAGGCGTTAGCACGCAAGACCGAAAGTCCTAGGTTCGATTCCTGTGTGCAGACATGTGGATGAGGACTGTTGAAGAGTCCCATGCTAGAACAAAACAGCCATCTAGTGCTTTCGGCTTTTCAATGATAATGTAAATTAGATGGTTTTATAGTTCAGGTACACTAGTTTAGTATTTCATAATTTTTAATGATGTTTGAATAAATGTGTTATTAACTTTTAGAAAAGAAAAAATCTCGATAAAATAAAAACGATAATGTTAAATAATGATAATTAAATCAATTAACTGAAGGAAATTATCATATCTAAGAAGACATATTAGAATAACTAACATTAGAAGAGTATTAAGAAATTATGGTGACGTGTACATGCAAACACGTATCAGATATGAATTCACATTTTTAAAAATGTTGATTTTGTAGAAGAAAATCAGTAATTTATTACATGAACTTATTTCATTGTTGAACTTTAATAGCATTAAAGTAATAAATAAAAACAGGTTAAGGAGAGAAGGGACCTTCTTAATTATCAATAACTATAATAAAAACTTTTGCTAAGATCATATATGGAAATATATTAGAAACTAAGAGAGGTGTACAAGGATCACATCTATTAACAAAGGACTAAATTCCAAAAAAAGATATATTCAATGACACACACACATTAAGATTATTATTGCTGTTTCCAGTGAATGAATTAGCTTCATATGAGTAGTATAAATTTGCCGTTAAGGATATATCCGTCACGACGTAGAACCTCGTACACAGAGAGATGATATTGTCAGAGCGAACCCAAGAGTACTAGAGGTAGTAACGGCTTTAATGCTAATAGAAAAGACTAGGCATCGAACGTACGACTCAAGAACATATAAATTAGTGTATTAAAAACAAAGAAAGTTATGAGGGATTTTGAAGCTTGAAATCTAAGGGAAGACAAAGAATAGATGCACCTGAGCCATTGCAAACAATTCTGAGCCGTGTCACTCAGTCTCTAACCACTGGTTACGATAGTCACGCGGACCTCAACCACGTAATGAACAACTATTAACATGGCTTAATCCAATTGGCAACGACTTTATAAACTGATCTCAAGCTTTGGTTTGATCGCCCCTAGCTTTCTTGCAGCCTACTCCTACACCAGAAAACGTCGCCCGTCGAGGTAAGCGGTGGTTAGATATACGTCACACCTATGTGAACGACTTCATTTGATGAAGATTTACTACCTTTTCAATCGATTTGCCCACCATTACCTAGTACCCTACTCCTATTCACAACCCAGACATTACTTAGTGGTCCTAAAATACACGAGTAATGCTTTGAAGACATCTATGATCAAATGACAGTAACCTACGAACATGCTCTACTTTTAATGGATATGTTTCACGCGCATAAAGTAGAACGGAGAGAAGTGCTGCACAGTATGCTTGTTCTTTGGTCGGCAGACTTATATCTCTCCTATAGCACAAGTTGGCAAAATTCAGTCAAGCCTTCTGAATGTATTCTGAGCTTTCACCTGACACCAAATCATCATATTATTCAGAAAAATTTGGGCGTAAAAAGACTACTGAATACAATTGATTTACTTGTTCGCACACAGATTTCAAGACAATATTGGGATATGGGGTGAGAAATAGAGTTCTATCTCTTTATCTTTACCAAAAACAAACAAAATCACTTCGCAAAAAGTGAGATTTTATTTACATGAAAATGAATTAATTTGAATATATTTGTTAATTATCGCAATTATACAAGGAATCAAAGAGATAGAGATTACTGATAGAAAAAAAGAACTATAAACCACAACTGTCTAATGGTAAATTCAAGTTTACCTGAATTATGTAGTAGACGACTTGAGTTGTATACAAACAAATAAACAAAAATGAAGAGAAATATGAGTTCTCTAGCGTAAAAAAACTAAAAAAAGCACTAAAATAATACTATTTTGGATTAATTTATGATACTAATAAGAGACAAACACTAGGAGAAATCTAGCATCCTAATAAAAAAAGAATTGTGTCCTTATACAGATATTAGCTGTTTTGTATTAGTTGTGAGTTGGCCAGCTTCATCATCATTGGCTTACATAAATAAAGCTATTTTTGTGTTTCTTAGAAGCATACCTAGTGCAAATATGTATACAGACTTAGACTATGTGTTTTCTAAATGCAGTAGTTTATGCTGTTAGCAGAATATACAAACATACTGTAATGAAAACTGTACAGTGCTTTTATACAATACATACGTCAACTGTTCATTATTATTATAACGATAGAGTAAGCTGATAGCACACATATAAAAGTTTTGGAATATAATTTTCTAATAACTTCGTACCCGAAGTAGATCTTTTATATCTTCAGTCAGTCAGTCAGCTGCAACGTAGGACCAGGCACATATATGCATCGGTCCAAGTTGCCATACCACATTAGCACAACAAGATGAACACCGGATTCATAGAAGTAGTTGATTCAGTGGTGGTAATATATAAAAGAAAGATCGCATATAAAGAGATAGTACAGGAAGATAGAATTAGTATGTAGAAAGAAAGACATGAAGCGATTTTAATCACTTAGTTTAAGGGAAGACAGAGAGTGTAATCTTTTATATCTGGAAAGCATGGAATAACTTAAATCTTCCAAAATTTGACAAATTAGATTTGGTATCCAAATCATAAAATGTCATTGGTCTTTTACGTAGAAAACAATAAAAACCTCATAATATTAGTTAATTTCTTGTGTTTAAAGAAAGCTATATGATCCATTCAGTTTATAGTGGTGTACACATCATAAAATGACAAAGAACCCAACCTGTCTTAGTTTCTTCGCACAACAATCAGCTGATTTCTGGCGTTTAAGGCTTTTCTATACTTAAGCACATTTTGAACGAAGATTTAATCAAGTGCTCGCTACTAACCTAAAGATAAAATATGAATACCAATTAGCCTATTACATTATTGTAAAATCAGTATTATGTAAAAATAATGATATAAATAATCTAATGAATAGAGATTAAAACATAGAGTATATGAAATATACGATCGCTTGGTAAACATGATTCTCAAATAATTTTAGAATATCATTTTGCCCATGTAAAAAACAAAACGTCTTTTAACAGAAAGTAAGTAAAATTTAAATGATTACAAGTAGTAACTATTTTTAAGATAAAGGTTAGCACAAACCTTCTTACTTATAACTGCTAGTGGCTTGCTTAGGTAGCAAATATCAAAAGCTGTTATTAGAAGCGGTAATCGTGATGTAGTTCAATTACGCTCTGCAAAATGGAGTCGAAAAATTCCTATGAAGTTTAAAAAAAGATGACATTGTAACACAAACCAAGACAGATGATATTGTAACTTACAGAAGGGTATTGACCTCATTTAGACGACTGGAAAGAAGAAAGCAGTAGACAGCTGTTTAGTCTTAACAGGAGACTCCTTAGAAGTGCACATCCATGAAGTTACTGTGGATTGAACTCAGCAACTTTAGGTCACGCATCGAACACTTAGCGTTTAGACCACTGAGTAAGCGTTTGATGGTTTATATGTTTAATTTCAATCAATAACCCCAATCCCACTGACAGGTAACTGTCATATTAACTTAGCTCAAAATATCATGAGTGAAAATATATATCGATATAAAAAATTGGTAAAATAGAGAAATAAAAATGAAATGATATAGTAAAGAAGAGGCAGTAGGATAGAATCCAAGCTAAATTAAATAAATATCTATCATAGAGAGATCAACTCTAAATTTAATCCGATGAAACCTCTAACCAACAGAAGATGACTTCAATGGATAATCTTACTGCTCAGAGTGAAGATGTCAATAATGTTACGAAACAGTAATAAAGCTATATCTTGGGTGCCTTCGGTATTCAATCAGCTAAATACAGAACGAAAAATGTCAACAGAACAAGCCAAACCGGTGGAAATGGAGGGGAGGATAGGTAGAAATAAAAAAGTGAATTTCGCGGAGGTGAAATTTCGAACAAAGGACAAGCATGAATGGATATTCTAAACCAGATGATATTGAAATTACTGTGAACTATGTTCATGATCAAAAGCAAACTGTTTCAGGCTAACCATAGGACGGGTAATTTTCAAATCACTGAGTAATACAGCTTCATTACAGTACAAACAATATTCATAGGTTCACAAATCAAAATATTGTATGTGTATAATTAAAACTAACTTGAAAAACGATTGAATTTTGATTTTCAGAGGGTTTATTGCTATTTCTACATGCATATTTTTCATGACCTGGTGATGATTCATCATCGCTATTAAAAGTTGGTTTTTCTTTAGAATTTGATGTTGACTGGGTATTTTTATTCGGAACAACAGATTCGTTAGCAATGGGTCCAATACTAGTGATAGTAGATTGAACTTCACGTCTTTTAGTTTCTTCATTCCAAAATTCAAAGAATAAATTTGACAATTCTTCTAATCGTGATTGCCTTAATGGTTGTAAATCATCACTGGAGCGTAAATCACTGCAAAAATACAGTAGTAATTAGCTTCATTGACGAATGAATTACATTTATTTTGCGACAGACAAAATTTGTCACTCTCCAAGTTCATTTAATAATGAAATTAACCTTTCAGTATATTAGTCAATATTTTCAGAGTGGATTTTAAACAATATGTTTCTTAATCCTGTCAACGTCACATTCAAATGTCTGTAAAAGGCATGTACCTTGATTCTTTCTCCGACTAATTCGTCCACATAACTCGTTTACCAAGTGTAATTTTATATATTTTGTTTTGAACTAAACATACTAACTGGAGTCAAGTAACATTATCCAGGTGACTGATACGGAGGCGGAGAGGGATTTAAACTAAAAAACATGTATGCAAAAATCAGGTAGTTCAAGTATTGTTCATCTACTTCACATAGTGGTCTAATGTTTTACAGATTTAAATATATTTGATGCTTCGAATGCACCGGTTAATATACTGAACTTGAAGCTATAATTTGTAATTGAGGTATAGCTGCAACAGACCGCCCAAACTAGTGACTCCTCTTCAAGGCCGCAATGGCGTTCGCAGAACTGAACTCTCTATCTCCCATTTGGCAGAGACACCAAATGTAGTAAACGACGACATGGTGGGGAAGACCAATTAATTGTCTAGTGCAGAATTACAGTGTCATCGTAAATTATGAAAACCATACATTAAATACTTCACTTGCACATCTTCCATCAGTTGTCCTTTATATCCTTCATGATTCGTTCAATACCCAATTCCTTTATGTTTCCCTTTCTGTTTTTTTTCAATTCGATCTTCTCAACATTCTTTTGACAGACATACTACTTCTGATCTGTGTTACATACTGCTCATATTGTGGTGCGCGCTACTTATATTGATATAATAAGTAGTATATGACGCGAGTTTTAAACGTAATGTCTGGCAGCAGAAGGTGGGGGAAGATCAAGAAAGGAAAAGCGGGAACACAATGGAATTTGTATGGAAACTCATGAACAATGAAATGTCAGACAATCGATTGATGTTTGCAACAGGAACAGTCCAGTTTGATATGATGGATTGTTATTTTGCAAATTAACGATTCACTATATGGTTGTTAGATTTTATTAACAAGTGCTGTAATTTGTCGTCAAACACATCCGATTGTCCCCATTGGTGTTCTTGTTCACTACAATATGTCAGTATAAGTAGCATACGCCAAACAGTGATAATGCTTAATTGCTGAAATCGAGTCTGTTGAAATGTAGTCCGAACGTACGTCTAAAATCGACTGAAAGTCGAATGACTTAACCGTTAAGTCACTGACTCTAAAGTAGATACCAGCTAACAATCTAGACAGAAGAAACTTGGATAAAAAACCAGGTAAACTGGCAGAGAATTTGCGGTATTGTTTAATTAGCTTACATTATCTTTGGTGTGTACTTCCCTTAAACCTGACATAGTTGAACTCCACAAGAGTCACAGTGTAGTGAACAGAACACAGGTGGGGACAATCGAATGTGTTTAACAACAAATTACGGAACTAGTTAGTAAAATCCAACAACCATATATTATATCGTTAATTTGCAAATTGTTCATCAATTGTCTCAAATGACTCGGAATCCTCTGTTCTTGCATTTTCATACAAATTGCGTTCTTTCTTCATTCTTTGTTGTTCGATCTTCTCGTCTCTCTGCTGCCAGACATTCTGTTCATGACTCATGTCATATACTACTTATGTCTACATAAGTAGCACACGCCACAACAGCTTCTCATTAGAACTCCGGAAATTTCTTTTCGAAGATAGTCACTAGTGAGGACATGATAATTGTCAGTATAGGGGTTGTAGAGATCGTTGAATGTTATTGAAATCACGAATCGATCTAAGTCTGGTTGTTAGGCTTTTACATGTGAAGTGACTCGATTCCCATGGGTTATGAATATTTATACAAATACATGCCATTCTGTTAATAGAAAACATTTTCAACCTATAACTTCAGATTTGAATGCATTTAAGTTTGTCACATGACTTCGTTTGTCGTTTATACTACTTGTGACATAAGTCAATTAAGTAAAGGAAGAGTAATGAAGTGCACAATTTAAAAAAAAACGAAAATTTGTTCTCATAATTCATAGAACAATGTAGTAATAAATGAAAGTTTTGTATGTTAACTTGCCAACGAATATATATACAAATATGAAACGCAACTCACATAAACGAAGAATCATCCGAATCTGCATAGCGAATTTGAAAAACAAGAACACGATAAAAGGCACTAGAAATTAGTTGACACTTATTTCAAATACTATCATATAATATATTTGCTAACAGAAAATTCCGATCTATCAAGTGAAGATAAAGATGTGACGAATAGACTAATGAATATTGCATACATATATAAACAACACTAGTGAATGTAGCTCAGCAAAAAAAAATTAATGGTAATTTCATCAGAGATCTAACAGAATAATTGAATTTTGATTAATTATTATGTAAAATTATACGTTATAACAAAGTAACATATTATTACGATAGGGATTGTGCAGATTATAGGATTCCATAGTTTATATCATAAATTGATCTTAACAAAAGAAATTACGAATTACCTGAACTTTTAGACCCATCAGTAACGTGAATATCATAGCTGTAAAAAAAACCAAATAAAACACAAACCAATCATCAAAACAGTTGGAAAACCCTGATTCCAAACCAATGGTGCACATGGGCTCCAGTATCTTGAAGGAACAAATGGCGTATGAACCAATCGTTGGTCACCGGCTACCATGGGACTGCATCTCCTTACGATGCTCCACTACCTTGTGGGTCAGACCTTTAGGTCAAATGCTCCGGGTGTGGCCCCCTAAGAAAACCACCTGCTTCGGTTTGGACACCCAGGCAGTATCACAGCCCTCACATAAATCAAATGAGATCTGTGTGGCGCATATGTATTCGGTGCCTCCTTGTACCGATATCTATGTGTTAAAATAAAATAATAATAAATAAAACCTTAGTTCGAGAACTTATGAAAATCAGGAATCCATCTTGTGTTAGTATAAGGTCCTTGGCATAGCACACCAACAAACTTGAGGATGGTCGAACAGAAAAATACGCAATTCTTGTGGTTAAGGCTTAGAACTTAGATCGCCGAATCCTCATCCAGTGGCTTAGAAGTCTAAATTCAATCAATTGGTGATAATGTGCGACCGTTATCTAATGGCATTATTAGGTGAAGTGGATGTCTCGCTCCAAAATAAGTGGAACCCACAGATCATGGTTTCTCAATAGAACTCTGGGAATCGTTTCCCCGAAATCGATCATTGGTAGATACATGATTAATATTAACATGAACGGTTTGTGGAGGTTCTTGAAAGACCTGAATATTCAGCGTTCTATCCCGCTGGAGTCATTGATAGATGCTGGAGAGGAGTTCCATATCAAGATGAAATAACTGATTGGTATGAGTCCTCCAACTCTTAATAAGGTTGAAAAAGCTATAAGCAATCCAGAGTGAGAGGGAGCAGGGAAACCTGATAGATTAACCACTGAGATTTCTAAGGATGGTGGCCGTTTTATTAGTTAGATTGACTGAGAACTTAGCCGAAATCGGGGAACTGGACGTAATTTCATCTGACCCAACCGCTATTCGACCCAGTCTATAAGAAAGGGAAAAAATCCTCTTGTGACAAACAGATAGGAATCAGTTTAACTAGTAGTGTCTAAAATATTAGCCTCAATAATACTTCGATGTCTAACTAGAGCTCTTGAGAAGCAAATTCGAGAAAGCCAGACTGGTTTCAGACCTGGACGTAGATGTATAGAGCAAATATTCACATATCGGCAAGTTCTGGGACACATACATACCATTTGATGTCCGACTATAATTATATTCCTTGACCTTAAGGCAGCACTGGACTCATTTGATAGTGAGGTTTTATGTCAGTGTCTGTCACTAAAAGGCGTGCCAAATAAGTATATTGACCTTGTACAGGGTCTTTATTCGAACACTTCTGGTTGAGTCAGAGCTTATAGCAAACTGCCATAGAAATTGATTGCTACAGGTAATGTTCATCAGGGTTATCTTCATTCAACGGTTTTATATATATTTGTCACAGACATGCTTTTAGAGATAACACTTACAATGGTTCCAGCCCATACAACCTTAAGCAACAATCCAATCCCATGTGCGGGATCGTGAATACACACTAATGAGAAGCCCCATGGTAGGATGTAATGGCCGTCCAGTGCTTACAGGTTTGCAATGGTGGTCTAACATTGATCGGCTGATGATCTCGATGACTATTCAGTAATTGATGGTTTTCAATTATTGTTTAACAAAGGTCAGTCAGTGGTGAAAACAACAAGAGTACATGGTTGACAGAAAAATAATAAGATAAAGAGCAATACTCGAAAAGAAGACGCTATCAACACATACACTCTGCGAAGTGACAATTCTGTACATTTAGCCATTTCACCGATAAATTGAAAAGTAAATCGCAGTATTTCTTCACCCAATTCCATACGTGTTTTCAATTTATGACCAAACAAGAACCAATCATATCCAAGAGTAAGATATAACATTTGAATAGGTGTTAAACTACAATGCATTAAATCATCAGCCCAAAGTAAACAGCGAAGTAGACAAATAAATAATGGTGTACGATCCCATCCAGAAACACAATGTAACAGTAAACCTCCAGCGCCTATTAATAATAATAAATGAGGATTGTGAATAAACTGAAAAATTAATTTAATAAATGACAAGTGTGAAACATCTAACCAAGACTAGGATGATTCCATGAGACTCCTACATACAAAATGAACTGTAATGCATTAAATGTTATGCTAGATGGCATCATGAGTGCAATTTTTATGACGAAATAAATTCTATATGTTCACTCAGAAGTCCTTAATTATAATTAAACCGTCGTTCGGGACTATATAATAATAATAATAATCAAGTTTGAAGCTAGTTAAAATTTATTCCCGTTAAAACTGTATAAGTTGAAACCAGTTTTCTAATTATACCTAAAATAGTATATGGTGAAGTATAGCATGAATACGGATAAATGGATAAAGTTACATTTCTATTGAAAATACAAAGGGGGACGTAAGAATTCAACACACTAATTGTTTTTCCTTAAAAAAAACGTAACTTCAGGTAAAATTATTGACTGTTTATCAAGTATAGGTTTATGTACTCGACTTTCAACTACACATATTGAGTGAAAGGAAAAGAAATTATCGGGCTACCCAAACTTAATAAATAGAGTTGTGGTGTATGCTACTTATGTTTGCAAATATACGTAGTATGCATCACCAGTCGGAAGTGGAAGCTGGATGTTCTAACCACAAAAACTACCAGTCCCAGTTTCAAGTGAAGCAGTTTTACAAGAAAAAACACCTTTAATTGTCTTACGTTGTAAGTAAATTTGTTTTTTATTTTTAAAGCAACAAAAATTGACCAATATGTATAAAGATGATGATTACCTTCGTAGAGTAATCCAAGAAGCAACTTCATGTAGTTCACAGTAATTGTATATATATCCCAGGACTGAAATATATTATTAGAAAACAATATATTTAACTAGTCAGTTTCAAGTTGGCGATAATATACATTTTGAACTGAAAAAAATTCATAAATAGATTGAGAACATACCTAATAGAATAAAAAAGGAACGTTAAAATTACTGATATTCATAAATACGTAGATTAAAGGAAATTACTACAGAAAATCTTTTAACACAAAAGTCATAAACGAAGAAGGATCGTTTCCTTTCGATTTCTAGTAAACTAGAGTATATCGAGAAAAAAATTGGAATTGTCTATTGTTAACAATTAATATATAACATTTTCTTCTGTAGTACTTGTAAACCGAGTTAGTAAGAGATAATGTGTAGATAAAACTACATTTAAGAGAGAGTTAATTTTCTCGTGAACAAATTTGTTGGATAAGACTCTGGAAAATATTTTAGTAGCGTTACGTTCTGAGCTAAATGATTTAACTGCAAAGCATTCTTGAATGTTTCAGATGGCATCTTCAGAGTTTGCTTCATGAAAAATGGAACTCAACTGGGTATTCTATCAGTTTTTAGTTCTAAAATAGGAGTATAAAGAGTACAAAAAATGAAAGCTACGAAGTAATGAATGTAGAATGACTTTGTAGCCATATTCACTCTGGCTAGGAAAGACCGATGGGGAAATCCAGTTGTTCATACAGAAAGTTATAAAAACTTAATGGATTGTATCACTTTTGACAAAAGGTTCACCCGTGCCGTAACTGGTCATGAAAGGGATAAAAATCTCTGAGACAAGAATGGACTACTAGTTGTTACAATAAGTATATATACATATATATATATATATATATATATATATATATATATATATATATATATATATATATATATGGAGATTTGAACTTAATACCATATGGTTTATACGAGATAAAATTCATTCGATGGAATTGTAGGTTTAAAACGACTAAGTTATTTATCATGTTTACTAAATCTTCAGGTTTCCCACAAAACAATTTATTAGTTTAAAAATTATAAATTAAAAATGCTAACAATAGCTGGTCAAAAATGTGATATGAAAAGACAAGGACATTTATTATGGGTTGGAGTAAATGTTTCTTAGTTGAATTCTCAGATAATTTGAAATTAATAAATTCTAGTGTTTCATTTTTTGTATTCGTTTTCTATCTTCATTTATATGCCAAAGATTGCACTATTATAAATATTCATCTAATGTTCCCAAATGTTATTTTAGGATCTTCTTTAAATCCCACATTTCTGCCGGTATAATTGTTTGGAATTTAATGGTTTTATTCTAATTAATCTGCTAACAATTGACTGTAAGTGGAGCCCGGTTGAAATAATATAACATTCGTGACAGATCACTATACTGTTGTTCTACTATGAGAATGAATGTTATACATCGGTAAGAAAGTGGGTTACTAATTAGGATGTGAAACAACCAGTTATAGACTATGTCCCCTTACTAAATTAACGGAGTAATGTTTACTTTACCTTAACCTTTGAAAATGAGCATGATTTTCATTCGTTGAAAAAGGGACTTCATCGACAAGTTAAGTGGTTCTCTGATCTTTGATCATTTAAAGGTTTAGCATCATAAATCTGGTTTTCAAAAGCAGTCATCATTCAACCATCCTACATCCACCAGTTCAATATATTGTCCATAAATCTATTTGGTTCTCGTTAAAATACAATACATAGTTTAGAAATAAAACATTATATGAATAAGCTAAATGAAAGTAACACGTAGTTTTCTTAAAGATTAAACCAACCTTGTACAAGTTCCATTCTACTGAGCTAGATAACAGAGTTTTTGGTATAAGGTTTGGATTAACGGACACCTCAACTCCCGACTACAACATAAAACGGTTAACAAAAAACAACTCAGACGACAACCAAAAGGTAGAAATAGTAATTTGAGAATCACGACGCTGAAACAGAGTACAATTACTAAAACTGTAAATAAAGAATGGTGAGAACGTAATCTACAGATTACTTTTGAGCGACCGTGAATTGACCTTGAGAAACTTTGACCACTCCTTGTTGTCAAAATAACGTTATATATTAGTGTGGGTAATCAGGATCTGAAGTTAGATGTTAGGGTCAGGGACTAGAATTAGGGTTCACATCACGGACTGGCATCAAACATGATGCCCAGATGCTATTTAGCCAAATGGACTGATTAATTTTGCATCAAAATCCGAGTGTCACCGTCTTAAATATGATTGGTTTGTTCATAGATTACAGTTCCGTTAAATAACTGTAAACAGTATAAAGAAATGTCTCAAATAATATTTGCTACAAAAGCAACTAACTACAAGCTTGTTAAGGATGTAGTCGAAGATGTTCTTTTTGACAGATTACAATAGGGACTATATGTCGTGCAGTTCTCGACTAAGTATCCAAATAAGTCTTCGGATAGTAACTTACGCCAAACAAAATCATGGAAAATTAGGTTTACCATTACTGTTGTCGACTAAGTTGTACGGTTCAGTGACCACGAAGCGTTCTTGGACCCGGAACTAGAAATGGTCACATTACACTTCAGACATTATAAAGTTCTGTTAGTTGATACTATTAACATTTGATCGGTATTCATTTCCTTAATGAAAAGAAGTGTTCACTTTCAACGTACTAATTTCATAGTTGCTATCCTAAATACATGATATTTGATTATATCGTATACAGCATTCACAGATTTCTGTGTTACATTTTCACAATAAAACAATTACGATATATAGTAAACCAATGTCTTACTCAATACCTATTTGTTGTGAATATTACATAAGAATGAACTAACAAACCATCAGGTTTGTGTTATTTTTTAGATGAAAACAGTAGTTACGGATAATCTTAATCTTCTATATTAGCAAAATCACCAGTTTAAGAGATTCCAATTATATGTTGCTGATGCTGAAAAAGAAGCAATTGTGTTATTCCATGACTTTTGAATTTTCATCACCTAAATATATTATGGTAAATTTTAACCTGATCATCTACTAACCAGTTTATTAAATACAGTTTTCACTTAATTTCATCGATTTAAAAATACTAGGTATGGAAATAACAAAATTAAAATAGTTTAATAGATAGAGAAAATAAAATACTTCCCATACATTACCGGGAATTTTTGATGATTTTAAGCCAGACATATACAGTTTCATGCCAAGACCGAGCATTATAAGTGCAATTTTAGTGAATAGTTGTACTAATTAACTGTCTACATACTGACAGGTTTACTGGGATTCAAACATGAAATACAGTGAACATATCCGAAACTTGAGTAAACCAGTTATATATAAAGTTATATCCTAACGAAGAGTAAACGAATGGTAGCTGCCAGAAATTCCTTACAAAATCGACATCATCTGGAATTTATACAATGGACTAAACTGCAAAGTCGTGTATGAAGAACAGTTGACAGACGCATTCCAAGTGATCGATGTCACACAAGGATGCTTACTTTTCCCCTTCCTCTTTCTTCTGGTGATTGACTGGATTATGAAGTCTTCCATATCTCAAGGAAAGCACAGAATACAATGGACAACTTGGATGGAACTGAGTGATTTGGACTTCGCAGATGACCTAGATATTCTATCCCATACACACCAACAAATGTAGATGTAGACAATTACTGTAGCAGAAGCCTATGCATTAGTAGGTTTCAACATACACCCTCAAATTCAACACAGAGAACAACAACCCAATCTAACTTGATGGAGAAAATCCGGAAGAGGTGGAATCTTCCACGTACCTGGACATCATCAACGAAGGAAGAAGATCTGATGCAGATGTAAAGGCGAGGATTAGCAAAGCAAGGGCCGCATTCCTACAATTGAAGAACATATGGAACTCAAAACAATTGTCAATCAATATTAGTGTGAATCTTCAATACGAACGTCAAGACAGTTAGTTCTACTGTATGGAGCTGAAACTTGGAGAACTACTATAACCATCATCAAGAAGGTATAAGTATTTTTAAACAGTTGTATGCTTAAGATACTCAATATCCGTTGGTTGGATACCATCAACAACAGCATCATATGGGAGAGAATTAAACAACTTCCAGCTGAAAAGGAAATTAGAAAAAGACGTTGAAAGTAGATAGGACATGCATTACGGAAATCACCAAACTGCATCACGAAGGAAGCGCTAACTTGAAATTCTGAAGGGAAACGAAAAAGAGAAGGGCCAAAGAATACACTGCGTCGAACGTTGCAAGCAGACATCAAAAGGATGAATAGAAAGTGGAAACAACTGGAAAGGATTGGATGGAGAATGCTGGTGGGCGGCTTATGTTTCTCCACTAGGCATAACAGGCGTAAGTAAGTAACTACTATAAATTATTTCTGTACTACTATTACATATATTTCTATTGAATAACCATTATATGTATATTCATATTCCCTTTATCATAAGCTTTTATTTGACCTATTGGCTACTATTATACGACTTACTAATCCCAAGTTATACCCAGTCTATTAGTTACATTCTCTCACATTCACAGCTACTTTTGGCTTGATCGTTTATAATTGTCATTTTCTATTTTGTGGTGTGATATGGTCTAATTTGCTTGTGTATAAACTGCGTACGTATGAACTACGTGATTAATACAGTAGAAGCTGAAATTGTATTCCGGACTCAAATGGGTAGGGCTAGGCGAGGATTCAGAGTTGACTCCAGGCTGCTTGTGCTGGTTAACGCGCCATTGGTTTGGCACAAGGCTAAGGTTGTGTAGGTCGACGTTCTGATTGGCGGTTTTGTCGCATGATAATTAACAGGGTCAAAATCTTTCTCCCTCTCTCTCTCTCTCTCTCTCTCTCTCTCTCTCTCTATATATATATATATATATATATATATATATATATATATATATATAATTCACTAGCTTTCTGAGGTTATCTACACTTTTGTAGTATTTGTATGACTGATTATAGTCCTACTGGATGTAGTAGAATATTGCTTTGAATAGAGTGGAGAAACTTTCTAAAATATGACTTAGTATGTATCTATTTATTTGAAATATACGAAGATATTGGAAAATCTTTGTTTGCTAATCGATGATTTTACTAAATATAAAGCACCGACTTCGGCAACACTTGTTACTGATAACTCATATTGATTTACAAAAAGTGGCGAGCATTGAAAATTTGTTGGCCGTTTAGACTGTTATGACTGAACATTCACATCTTTATGCAGACAAAATAAAATGAAAGTTTCCTTATGATACTAAAGCCGCTTTTTATTTTAAAACCCTGATAAAAAACGAGTATTTACAATGTATATGTACTACCTAAATACATATCCGATTCACAACTACGAACAGTCTGTAAGTGAAGGGAGACAAGATATATAAAAGACAAAATTTATTGATCAGAAAATAAATCACATTTACGGCAAATAATAGCAGCATAAACAAATGACTTGATTTGTTTAAGGAAAATGCAGTATTGACCCAAAGTCTTAAAAATTGTTGAGTTGTGTTAAGCGATCAAAATGAAGTGGAAATAACCAAATGGATATTTCTTTCAGTGATTTTCATATCAAGTATTATTGTTTGGTGATGAGATTTTCTTATGAGGAATTATGCTACGATGTATATCTGTGTTATATTAATAATTGAGTGTAAATAGAAACCTAGTCAAAGAGGTTTGATAAATTATACAACTAAATAGCTTGAAATGTAGTCAGCTAAAACTTAAGATCTCTGATAATGTACGTTCTGTCAATTTTTTTCTTTCTGGTTTGTCTTCGCCATTACCGTGGAACGTATTTAAATAGTGTAGACCTTGAACTAAATTAGACATTTTATATTTAAATAAGATCATATATACCGTTTTTCAAAGTAAATTACTGCCAGGAAACGTCAGTTGTAGTGAGAACAACTTTATTTACAGGAAGTTGTATCAAAGTCTTCGAAAATGGTTGCTTTTCAAGGAACAAAACAGTCAACTGGAAGCCCCCAATGTGAGAAAGTTATTCAGATGATTTAAGTTTCTTGACCGGAAGATACATTTATGTAGAAAGAGAAAACTACTTGTTAATTAGCATAACTTAATTCCCCATCATCAAATATAAAAAAATTTAAAACACGGTTACATTTGTGTAGAAAAATACATGTTTTAAACGTTACAATATAATAATTACCCGATTCCAGTCAAAGTATACATGATGCATAGCATAACCAGAATCACGCCATATACGGAAAAATTCGCTGCCAGGATAAGGGAGAGGTATGACTACGAAGTCATTATAGCGTCCTTGTTGATCCACCTTTTCTGATGAACTAATTCTATAAGATCAAAAAAAAATAGAACTAGCATATATATATATATATATATATATATATATATATATATATATATATATATATATAACTGACATACACGATCTTCGAGAAATGACATAACATTGGGGGGGAGGAAGATTTTCCTTATGACATTTAGTGTAGTTCTACAGTCCTACTTATAGTTACTTAACGTATACATTAATACATAAGTTCATTTGAGGCATTTTGAAATAAGTTTTCCAGAGATGTTAGAAGCAGATTACGTACAAACCAAGATAAAACACACGAAACTATCTTCATGAAAACCAAGATTTTATCGACTTTATCTCACTAACTGACTAACATCAGTTCTTAGAGAAAACTATATTTAAAAACTACGAATATTTGTAAAACACTTAAGTAAATAAAACAATTTAACAAAACAATATTGATACATTTACTAAAACATAATGCTATGATAATATAACCTGATACAAGCAAAATACAGTACAAACAAGACACACAGAATTATAAATATTATACCAAGGTCAACGGAATCTGTAACCCATTTACAAACCTTAATTTTATTTACTCGACTAGTGATACTACCCGGCTGCCAAAACTGGAATAGATGAAGCCACATTTGAATCTGTTATCTATTCGTCTAAATTCAAGTGCTTTAACTACTAATTAGTGGAAAATATCGGGTCGGTAGTATTAAGATGCCTAAAACCAAAAGATAACCATTTAAAAAACAAATATAAAACAAGATATTGTGCACCGATAAGGGGAGCAGTCCGATAGAATGTTATTCGAAGATTGCAAAAATAACGCTTTTGTTGTTAATAATGAAATACAAAATAAAAGCACAAAATAACTTACGGGACCCAACATTTTATCTTTCTGTACTCCAACATAAAATCACAAATATAGGTGACATTTAAACGACGAATTAATTCACAATCATCATCACGTAATTTTTCTAAACTGTGACGTCCGTTTTCTGTCCTTAAGAAGTTCGAAAGCATTTTGTAAATAGAACATATGTTATTCAAATATTATAGAAAGAATTAACAATTAAAATTAGATTCATCAACAACTAGACCAGTCAAAGACTCAAAAATTCAGTGAGTAGAATATTGACTAAGAAATGAAGTAACTTCATAACAATTTAAATATTGATGGAGTAGACTATAGGTCACAATTATTATGTGCGAGCTATCTGGATATCTAGAAGTCATATAATGGAGTAGAATTCTAAACTGTGACCCATAAGTTGAAAATCAAATGATCAACCGAATTAGCTATATGTTTAACTTATTTCAGATTTGTTTGATATGTATTTTCTGATCTGTCTGGTTCAAATATATCGTAGTGCAAGCGCTGACTGACTGATTTTTATCATATGAAGTTCTTAGTTAATTACTAAGTATACTAGAAACTACGGGGATATGTTAGAAAATTGGAAAGGAAATTCACGTTTTGTGCTCAAAAGAAACAGCTATACGTCCTGTGGAGCTCAGTGATACAGTGGTGCGCGCTACTTATATTGATATAATAAGTAGTATATGACGCGAGTTTTAAACGTAATGTCTGGCAGCAGAAGGTGGGAGAAGATCAAGAAAGGAAGAGCGGGAACACAATGGAATTTGTATGGAAACTCATGAACAATGAAATGTCAGACAATCGATTGATGTTTGCAACAGGAACAGTCCAGTTTGACATGATGGATTGTTATTTTGCAAATTAACGATTCACTATATGGTTGTTAGATTTTATTAACAAGTGCTGTAATTTGTCGTCAAACACATCCGATTGTTCCCATTGGTGTTCTTGTTCACTACAATACTATCTGGCTAGCTGAACCAGAGTAGATAGAATGAGGTTAGACCCTGATATTAAGTAGATAAAAGTCAGTTTCTTCAGTATACTAATTTATTGTTTTAAAGGAAAAGGAGATGCACTGAGCCAAAAACCTTCAACATTTAAAATTGAAAATAGTTGAATTTTGATTAGGTAAAACTCGAATGGATATATATATATATTCCCAGTAAAAAAAATACTCAGAAATTGTTTCAGCAAATAAAACTCACTCAAAACTTGTATCTGGAAGCTCTCCTCCTGAAGAGTTACTGACATGTCCATCAAAATTAAAGCCTGTGTAGTCATTACATGAATACGTAAGTTAACAAACCTGCAGCTGTGGCAACTTGGCGACCATAAAACTCTAATGGGCCGCTTAAAGTACTACATCGGCATATATTCTGGAATAAAAGAACACACAAAAATTCCGTGACAAATCAAATAAACAAACTTTGATTTTCCTTATTTACAGTAATCTATTTTTACTATTAACTGTGAAAATCCGTAAACATCGCGAAACCTATGGTTAAAATATTTAGTTAAACACTTCATTTTAATAAGAGTTACTTCTGTCGTATCACAAAACGCTAGTCACTATGGAAAGCCCGAAAACAAGCTAAGAGTATGTAGAGAGAAAGCGAGAATCTTCCACGTATGAGTGTGTATATTTGTTTAGAGCCAGGTACATAACATTTCTGAGTTAGTATTCACTCTGAAATTCACACAAGCATATACGTAATTCTTAAACAAATTCACATGTTTAACCAGTTTTGTTATTTTTATTTGCTTTATTCAAAACGTAAAGATTTGTAATCACGATGACTTACGCCTGTTACTCCTCGTGAAGGAGCATAGGTCACCCACCAGCATTATCCATCCAACCCTGTCCTGGACAATCATTTCCAGCTCTTTCCAGTTCTTATTCATCCCTTTCATATCCGCTTCTATTTCCCGACGTAATGTGTTCTTTGGCCTTCCTCTTTTCCGCTTTCCTTCAGGATTCCAAGTTAGCACTTGCCTGGCAATGCAGTTTGATGATTTCCTCAATGTATGTCCTATCCATTTCCATTGTCTTTTCCTAATTTCCTCTTCAGCTGGAAGCTGGTTGGTTCTCTCCCATAAAAGGCTGTTGCTGATGGTATCCGGTCAGTGGATGTTAAGTATCTTGCGTAGACAGCTATTGATAAATACTTGTACCTTCTTGATGGTGGTGGTTGTAGTTCTCCAAGTTTCAGCTCCATACAGTAGAACTGCCGTGACGTTCGTACTGAAGATTTTGACTTTGATATTGGTTGAAAGTTGTTTTGAGTTCCATATGTTCTTTAATTGAAGGAATTCTGTCCTTGCTTTGCCAATCCTCGCCTTGACGTCTGCATCTGAACCTCCTTGTTTATCGATGATGCTTCCCAGGTATGTGAAGGATTCCACATCTTCCAGAGTTTCGCCATCAAGAGTGATTGGATTGCTGTTCTCCGTGTTGTATTTGAGGACCTCGGTTTTCCCTTTGTGTATGTTGAGGCCTACTGATGCAGAGACTGCTGCCATGCTGGCTGTCTTTATCTGCATTTGTTCGTGTGTATAATCACGATGAACAGTTTAAATAAGCTTAAATCAGTCATTTACAATGTATACTCCAGCACATACCAATTAATTCACTAAGCTACACTTCATAATAGTATTAAGAGATTACTTAAGTAAAGGTAGGGAGTCAAGGTACAAATGACAAAGGCGTTTGTAAATCAAACAGAAAATGTGGTTCAAAAAGGCTAGTGAAGTCGTAAATAGCTAGTATATAACTACAGTACACTAGAAAGGCAAAAGAACAGTTACTACATCTCCAGGTTCCTAAGGATTTAACAGAGAATATTGGAGCTAAAAGATAACTAGTCTTCACTAAAATATAAGGAATTAAGAACAGGAATGATTTTTTCACTCAAGTGACTTCGTTTAAGGGAATACAATGCCAATATGGTACGGCGTACAATTCTACAATAACGATGAACATTAGTAAACGTTTCTCGATATCACCAAAGCACAAAAGGGTGGTACAACGTAAAACTGGCAATAGAAATATAGAACTCAAACAATATGTTTATTCCATCCAACGATTGGCTAGGATGCCATCAACTGAGTTATCTCATCCCATCTTTCTCTTACATATTTCTTTAAATATCGATTCGATACAAAGAACCAAGGGTGAAACTAATCCTACAACAAACAAGGAAAGAGGATACAACATCCTCCACTAGTTTATTCATTTCATACAATACGAATCCCAACGTATCAAAAAAACAAATTTAATTGAAACTCTGGGATTCATTCAACAGATAGATCGACCTCTCCTTGTCTATGTTTGGTTCTGTAGTTTTATCGCCTTCAACACCTACTTACTATCCGATATAAAATTATTTAGCATGAAACTTGTTTTTGAAAGTACATCAGCTTGCTATTACAAATCGCTTGGCGGCATCAAGTTCACTAAGTGATACACATCCCTCAGCAATATAGAAGCACTTGTCCAGTAGAACTTTGTCTCAGATGTATTTAAGATGAACGGGTACCGCCTGGTGCAAAGCGAAGTTAGCGTAGAAAGGATGGCAAGGTAGCACCAAATGGAAGGAGTTATCCTATATTTGGACACCCTCCATTGAATGGTCTCAAGAAGAAATCTGCAACTGATCTCAGTCTTCACTAGATGCATTCATTCATTTTAACACATAAGTATAGGTACAGGGAGGCACCAAGTACATATGCGCCACACGAATCTCAATTGATTTGTGTGAGGGCTGTGATACTGCCCGGGTGCCCAAACCGAAGCAGGTGGTTTTCTTAGGGGGCCACATCCCGAGCCTTCGACCTGAACGTCTGACCCACAAGGCAGTGGAACAACGTGAGGAGATGCACTCCCATGGTAGCCGGTGACCAACGATTGGTTCATACGCCATTTGTTCCTTCAGGATACTGGAGCCCATGTGCACCATTGGTTTGGGATCCGGTTAAAGCGCCGGACATTCGCTTTTCGTCCTCTCATTTTTGTAAACAACACCCCCGCCACGAGAAGGCAGTGAGTAGGACTTCCCTGGCACAGGCTATATACGCATGGCCATGTGAGAGCATTTCGAGAGGGAGAGCGGACTCTCCCCACTCTCGGCCGTACAAGGGCATTTGTAAAACCATCTCTTTTATATCTGAACCAACTGCGATCTGGGACCGGCGGAGTAGCTTCTTCTGCTTATAAGCACTGGGTTTCTTCTGGTTCCTTACAACTCATTGAAGCCCGTCTGGAAACAGCTCTGACGGATGTAAGTTATGGTGGTGTGGATCTGTTTCCTGGAGAAAGACTTCTCGACCTTGAGTATGCGGATGATATTGTCTTACTGTGCGAGAATGCCCAAGCCATGCAATCCGCACTTAATCAGTTGACAATCAATGTCCGTAGCAGTTTTGCTCTATGCTTGTGAAACCTGGCCTCTCCGAGCTGAGGATGTTAGACGACTCTGTGTTCGATCATCGCTGTCTCTGAAGGATTGCTGGCATCCAGTGGCAACACCATGTTAGTAATGCAGAGGTTCGGCATCGAGTGTTCGGGCACAGAGACGATAATGCAATCGGTGTCACCATCTTGAAACACCGACTTCGGTGGCTTGGACATGTTCTACGAATGTCGCCGACGCTGGGACTGGTTGGGAAAAGCGGAGAGGTGGTCAGTGTATAACATGGTGTCGTGGTATGAAAGACAGCTGCAAAGGGCTGGCTTCTGTTGGCCCTTCACGACTCCCTGGTTGGGGTCCGAGAGATGGTGTAACACAGTGGATGGAAACGTTACCAGATATGGCTCAGAATCAGTCAGTCAGTCAGTAACAACGTGGAACTTCGTACGTACGTACATCAGTTCGAGTTGCCATACCACATTAGCACAGAGATTCAGTTATCGATTCAAATCCCATAGTGGTAGAGGTACTGAAATTATACGTAGTGATAGGGAACATTAGGGTTTGATGATGTTATTAAAGGAGTATAATCCAGCGGAATAAATTTGGAAAAAAAATAAAGGACGTCAAGAATTCAGAAGATTAGAATTCGGGAGAACACAAAGAGTGGATGCACCTGCGCCATTGCAAACGATTTTGAGCCATGTCATTCAAGGTCTCTAACCATCGGTTGCTATCATCTCGCGGTCCCCAACCAAGTAGCCTACACCTACCAACATGGCTCAGTCCACTTGTCAGTGACTTCATGGATTTGTGCCATGTTTTGGTCTGGCCGCCCCTATCTTTCTTCCAACCTACTCCTACACCGGAAAACATAACACGTCGGGGCAGTCGGTGGTCGGGCATGCGCAACATATGTCCCAGCCATCTCAACTGATGAAGTTTCACTACTTCATCAATTGATTTGCCATCCTTACCTAGTACCCGTTTCCTAACAACTGAGTTACTTACTCGGTGGTCCCATGATATACGAGCAATGTTTCGAAGACACCTACGAATATCCTCTACTCTTACTGGCCATGTTACACTGCCATAGAGTAGGATGGAACGAACTGCTGCGCAGTAAACATGTCCTTTGGTTGATAGACGGATATCTCGCCTACGCCACAAATGACGCAAGTTGGCAAAAGCTAGCCGAGCCTTTTGTATCCGTACTGAGATTTCGTCACACACCAGACCACAAGGGCTGATGAGACTTCCAAGCGGTCGACACGCCCAACTACTTCACTCCCTATCACTAGTTCGGGTGTCGATGTAACCCAATCCTGAAGCAACATTTTGCATTTCGAGAGAGAGAATCGCATGCCGAACATGCCTGCATTGTTGCTTAGAGTGGTCAGAAGACTGCATTTTGTCAGCGTCTTCACCAAATAGAACTATGTCATCGGCATACTCTAAGTCAATAAGTGAATTTCCCGGTAGAAGTTCAAGCCCTGGAAAGTCATATGTGGAAAGAGTTATCTCTAAAAGCACGTCAATGACAAAGTTAAACAAGAATGGAGAGAGTGGACAGCCCTGACGAACACCACTTGAGGTAATCAGTTCTGATGACAGTTCGCCATAAGCTCTCACTCGACCAGTTGTGTTCGAGTAGAGAGCCTTTATAAGGTTAATGTACTTCTTTGGTACTCCTTTCAGTGACAAACACTGCCATAGAACCTCACGATCAACAGAGTCAAATGCCGCCTTAAGGTCGAGAAATACTACAATTGTGGGGCGTCTGAATGTGTCTATGTTCCAGGACCCGACGTAGTGTGAATATTTGATCTATACAACCACGTGCAGGTCGAAAACCAGCCTGGTTTTCTCTAGTCTGCTCTTCACGAGCTCCGGTTAGACGTCGAAGTATTATTGAAGCTAATATTTTAGACATTATATCAGTCAAACTGATTATTTATTATTTATTTATT